GCTCAAGTTTTCAGATGCAATGGACTCTGTGAATTTGCCTCATCTTTAACGGAAATGTCTGTTTGGATTGGGTTCTATTTGTGCTGACTGCCACCTACACCAATTGTTTTAAATACAGCAGGGGTAATTTTACGCTCTTCAGCAGTAATATGTCACTGAAATTTATAGGCCCCTCTTTACTAAGGACTAGGAAGGCCTTGGATCTCTCAGTGTTGTTTGGATCATCTTGTTGATTATACTTGTGCCAGAGTACAGCGCTTTTGCTGAAGCTGTTCAGTAAGTCCTGGCACCGTAATAGCAAAAGCATCAAATCCTATTTCAAGATGTGATGATATTGAGTTCTTAATCCTGGCTCGGGCTAAATGCCAAACTCCTGGAAGGAATTTTTATGTCTGTTTTGACGATCGTTGCTTGTGTTATGAATAAATGTACTTTTTCTATGACTCCACTAACACTGTTGCTGCATACACATAGTGTACATATTTATGCAGACGTTTGGGTGGGTCGGTCTTACAGCGGTGTGTGAGGTGCGTGGTATGCAACTTCACAGGCTGACACTAAATGTTGATGCCAGTGATGTGAATTATACTGATAATTTGCAGCATGCATACATGGTACAACTTTGAGTGCTTAAAAAGAAAGAACGATTGAAGTGGAGTTGAAGTTCTGGGTGATTCTTTTTGTGTGTCTCAGCGCTTATGGGTGTTCTACTTGAATGAGTGGGTATTTCGTTAAAAAACAGGTGTACAAATTAAGCGCACTCAACTGCATTTGGCTTTCACCTCACCTGTCCCCGCTGCCTGGGGCCATGTGTTTGTAATGGCTCAATGACGTCGTGAATTGGACTAAACTTTGAGTAAAAAAGCTATGGAGCCAAAATATGTTACTTATGGAACACCATCTTTATAAACTTAACTTGCAGACTAATCAGCAAGTTGGTAAAGTTAAATCCAAGAGTAATTGTTTAAAAATTGTGTAAGCTTTTTATGTTTTTCCAGTATGTTTAAAATGGTTCAAGCTTCATCGCTTAACCAGCAGAGGAAAAGATCATGTTTGTCTTTTAAAAAAGTAACAATCTTAAGGGAGAGTTAAGATGTAAGTTGAGTAATTAATGTTAATGAGCAAACTAAAAGCAGAAACTCTTAAGTCATGAACTTGACATTACTTAATGCACTGGTTATCTTAAAGTTCAGTGAAGCGTGGTGGTAATTGGAAGGACAGCTGAAATCGCTTGGAGAAATCTTGTCAAAGGAAGTAAATGGCTAACTACTATTGTAATTGTTGCCCCGGGCCAGGCATTAACTCCAGCGCTTTTGCAGTGGAGCTGCTCAGTGGCCTTTAGCAGAAGGAGCTGCTTATACTGGATCACTCTTACATGGAAGTGTGTTAGTTTTTAATGGATGTTTTTTCACCCTCAAAGTTTGAAGAAATTAGACAAAGTGAAGATGAGATGGTAACTGAGTATAAGATCATAACTGCAACAAGTTTACGGAGACAGGAGGGGATGGGGATCTGAAGTGCTAATATGGAAGGTTATGCAAGGTTAAACTGTACCATACAGTACAGTTTACAGGAAAGAGACATGTAGACATGTAACCAAGATCTGGAGATGCCTGTCTGGGCTGAAGATCATTTAGGATAGATTGAGTAAAGTTCTAAAATCATTGTGTGTGTGTTAGTGTGGCACATCGGTTTAGCACAACTGCAACACTGTATCTGTATACAGATATTGGAGCAACATTTCTTGCAATTCAGGCTACATAATTACAAGGGAATGTCTTGCCTATTTCAGCAAGACAGTGCTACACCACATTCTTTTTGTATTACAACAGCAATGCCCAAAGCAAAAAGAAAATGTCTGGGTGATGAACTGGCCTGCCTCCACCCTTGACTTACCCCACTCACTGAATAAATACAATTATTCATCACGAAAAGAGGCCCCGAACTGAGCAGCTGATATCCTGAATCATGAAAGGAGGGGGAAACCGCTTGAGCCACAGTCTGCCACCAAAACTATGTGTATGCTTTTATGAGAATTTGTTAGATGTTTTATTCCAACACTGACATCTTTTACTTTGTAAAATTTAGAACCACAGTGTGCTTCTGTGTTGTGGCCACTGTAATATTTCAGGAAGAAAGAGGTTTTCACTAATTTTCCTGCCTAAACTTTGGTTTTTCAACAAATGATCAAACCTTCAGGCCCTTGGCTGCAGAAAGATGGAATACCCATCAGTCAGTCCCAGCAACAAGCCTCTAAAATTGAGTCTGGCCGTGTTTTTGCCACCAACAGAGGCACCGAGCGACCATGAGTCATCTCTGGTCTGTCTGAAGACGCTCTGTCTCTGCTCTCCACTCTGCATCCATCTCCTCCTCTCTTTGCTTCTCTTTGTCTCTCCCACCCTCCCCCCGCTTTGTTTTGATGTGGATCGGTCTTGGTTCCCCTCCTTCACTTGAATTTTATTTTTTATTTTTTTAAATCCTATAGTTGGATAAAAATAAAATTCATGTGTCTGTGTTTTGGCATTAACACTGTTTTTTCCTGTGGTTACCCCTTAAATTTATTAAGCCATCACTATTGTGTGACCACAGTGCACACTACTGAAGTGATCTCGGTAAAGTTTGAGTCATTGTTTGTGCCACTTTGTTTTGTTTTCACTGCTCAGTTCTGTCAGCACCTTATGCTTCACAGCATCTGACACACAGTATCCTGGTGGTGATGGAATTAAACCAAGTGCAGTGCCAATGAATTCTGGGGACACACCCTTGTGGTTTCATTATAGTGCAGCTACACACCTGTAAAGTTTTGTGACTGAGTCTTGATGTTCCAGATTCCTGCCTAACAAGTCTTGACCTTTTGGCGTTCTTCTTAGTAAAGCATCCAAGCGGTTGTGGCAGCACTAATTTATTCTGCTACACATGTGCTTGTGTCAGTGCAACAACACAACTGCAACTTCATAGTTTGGTTGTTTAAATCATCGTGTGTGTGTTGGCTTTTGCTAGTATGGTCGGGTCATGTGTCAGAATTTCAGAATTTTTTTTTTTTTTTTTTTAAGTGGCGAGTCCCTCCCTTATGTTTCTGTCTGGCTGTACTCTGCGTTTGTGGTAGTTCTTGTGTAGGTGTCCTCAAGATCTTGTTTTGCCACAGACAGATGGACTGCCATGGTAAAACAATACCTGCTGTGATATCACAGCCAGTAAAAAGAACATTGCATTTTAAATTATTCTCATTTTGATACTTATTTTATTTTTATTTTTAAAGGGGTTTTTTTATGTTAAAATGGACACTTATTTTACTCTAGCTTCCCCGCAAAGTGACCATTTAGGACAATAAAGAGAAAAACATACTTAATAATGTTTTATCTGTGATTGCAGGGAGCATCATTTATTAGTGCAAACAAGTGAAGGACATTTATCATCATTTTTCCAACGAGCTGCTGTCAGTGATGACAGACTGCCCGATTCAAAGTGCGAATCTGTGGCCACAGAGTGCCAGCAGCACCATTATAGTGCAATATCAGTACTACAGCATAAGTCAAATGTGAACACAAATCTGGAAATGTAAGTAAAAGCATATCATAGCTGCTTATAAATTTAGTTTAACAATGAATAAAGTAAGTTAACGTTGTAGCTCTTCAGGATCTTGCATAATATTGTCTCATAATCCATTTAAATTAAAAAATATTTGCTATTTGAGATTTTGCATCCTGGGTTGAGCTTTTAACCAGCTGTTTCCGGGGTTTGGATTGGCATCATATGAACTCGTTATTCATAGCGAGCTTACGTTTGGGCCTCACATCAACAGCTGCTCATAACACATCCTCGCATCCATAGCTTGGATGTACTCTACACTGTGTTTTTGCTCAAGTACTGAAACAAGTTCGATGTTTCCACCCTTAAGCTTTTCTTTTTTTTTTTCTTTTCTTGCATATTTTGCACAGCACTGTTTTATGTTGAAGGTCTGTTTGAAGCCAAACGACTTACATACTACTTAAGTAGCTCCTGTTTCCTTTGGCATCATTCTGGGAGGCTGTCACCCTGCTCTCGCTCTCAGACATGTTTGTGCTTGTGTCATTATTTTGTGTGCTAAGGAATGTAAATGCATCTCGCCCTAATGTTAAATTAATATGAACTTGTGTCAAGAATCAGAATGAACGGAGATGTTGATGTCATGGTGATGTTGATGTCCCCCCACCAAGCATTAAGACTCAATAATATTCCAAAAGCCGATGTATTAGATCAATGGCACCATACTCCTAGTTGTTCATAGTATTGAAGCTCATTTTTCCTTCCCATGTGGAATGTGCTGGACTCTTTTCCCCATTCTCTCACACATACAGTGCTGCTTCTATGTCACACACAGGCCACTGGGCATTTTCTTGCCCTGAGTGAAGCACGCAATTCATGTCTCACCCAAAAGAAAAAGAATCTTTTTCCTCATGTATATTTCATATGTAATTCCTCTCTGACCCCATCAGCACTCCTGCTAAATGTAAACAACAGTCCGCTATTTATAGAAAATCTGCCTCTGTACTGTCGTACCCCTCTTTTCTGACTTATGCCAGCTTTTCAGGAATTTAGGAAAAACAAGTCCACACATTCCTCCCCCATCCTGTTTGTGGTTTAAAGGGTTGCGAATGAGTTATGTCAGAACATTTTTTATTTGCTATACTGGCTACAAACAACTGATTTTGAAAAAGTACGACACAAGCACTCATGACAAAAAGGCACCAATTATATTTACCTTCAGTATTTGATGGTGGCATTTTTGTGGATTCGGTGTTTCTATCAGCTTCCTCTCAGCTGATTGAAACTCATCTAATGAACATTACAGTTTTGTCTTTCTTGTGCTTTGAAGTGCAGTGAAAACAGTTAGGGTTTCTCTCTATCTGCTCTCCAGTTCTGTCACGTTGTACCTTGATGTTGCTTAAACAACTTTGCTTAATGACTGCTGTTCATGTTCAAGCCTACAATGACTCACTTTCCTTCTTGTCATACTTTAGGCTCGTAATGTAAACACAGGAGAGCTGGCTGCTATCAAAGTCATCAAACTGGAACCCGGTGAGTTACCTCATCTTTGTCTCTCTTACTTTATCTCCCTTCTTTTTTTCTCGCTGTATCCTACTCCTCATGTTTTTGAATTCCTCTTTCTACTTTTTTTTTCTTGCTGAATCTAGGGATGTGCACAACCAGCTGACTAGACGTTTAAAACTTGACACCCTTGCTAGTTGGCACCGGAAATACCAGTTGGTTAAACATGTTATTATTATATTATTAAACATACAATGACACGTACTGGTTCAGAAATGTTAGGACACCCTCTGCATTTCTGTCTTTTTTTTCTTTTCTTTTTTTAAAAAGACAGAAAAAGTCAAATAGTATATGTCTGTGAAGGTTCTCAGTCATCCAGGTCATCATAGTCTAAGGAGCTTGGAAAGAAAAGCGTCTGGACTTCTTTAAGTTGCTTGAAGACGTTTCACCTCTCATCCGAGAAGCTTCTTCAGTTCTAAGGTCAAATGGTGGAGAGTCCCAGATTTAATCAAATAGCATACTTTCTTCTTTTCTCTCGTTTAAATGACGAGTTAGTCACCTGGAGCATCATTAGGTGTTGTCCTACTTATGCTCTCTTTCAAATCCTTTACCCCACTTTTTCTTGCTAAATAATAGTTCTTATCTTCGTGTCTATTTCTTTATATCCCCTATTTTTGCTTTATCTTACTCCTTGTCTTTCCATTCCTATATCTTGCTCTTCATCTTTGTCTATTTCCTTTTCTGCCCCTTTTTGTTGCTGTCCAGTTTGTATTTAGTGTGCGTATATCTCTCTCTTTCGCTCGTAAGTCATTTTCCTTTCTATTTTAGTCTGTGAAGTTCTTCATTACAAACCTCTTTTCCATACGATGCCCTCTTACCCAGCACTCACTGATACTTGTGCTTTCCCCCCCCCCCCTTAACTATGTCCTTTCCCTCATACAGGTTAATTTCCTTGTCTTTTTCTTGTTTAAATCGTGCATTTCATTTAGTAAGTAAAATATTTGAATAATCCAAACAGTCAGCTGTTCAGATGCCCTTTCTTTGGGTAGATAGTGAGTTTTTGTCATTTTTGACATTAAAATATTCTTTCTTTCTTTTTTTGTGGTAATAGATGTCATCTGTGCTTTTGCTTGAGTCGACCCTCCCTCTTTAAGTAGCGATGATGACACTTTAGTTCACTTTACTTTACTTTACTTTTACTGCCCAAGCGACAGTGAGGCTAGACTTAGAGGCTTTTCATAACCACCTAGCAACAAAGGTGCAACTCTCTCTCCCTCCTTAGAGAGAGGAGATCAAGCCAGGAGATCTAGAGTTCAATCTTAGAAGCAATGGAATTTTATTTGGCCTGATGTTGTATTTGTTTTTATTTATTTGTTGTTTTTTACTTGCTAATGCCAATTTTTGAAAATTCCAAATTTCAAATCACACCAAATACAAGGTAAAAATAAACTTTTCTTCAATGCAGAATTGTATTTTTATAACTAAATCAGTTATCAGACTTTACAGTTCCCCTAAACTGCACAAGTTACACGATCTTCACTGTTAAACATCTCTGAAAGTAAATAATAGAAAAAATAAACGAGTTAATGTACACATAATTTACCTTTCCAAACAAAAGCAGGTGTAACAGATTTCTATAAAAACACAAATGTAAGTTTCTTGCATCATTTAACTTGTTTAACTTACATCCTTCACCAGATAACAGGGGAGCAACCCTTTTCTCTTTTTCTTCCACTGCTCATACCGAGGCTCATATTGAAGCTACATGCTTTGTGGTTCCATCTGCACGCCACGTAGCTTTGGCCACTTTCCTTTTGTTATCTTTGTTTTTCTTCTTCAGTTTAATTAATCATCTTCAGCTCTGTGACGATACTTCATTTAAGTTTTCATGCCAGTTCACTGATGATCTAGTTTGGCGAACTTTGCATCACCCTCACTCGCAGCGAAGAAGTCGCTAACAGCCACAGGCAGACACTACCAATGTGTGGCTGCTCATATGAGTGTGCAATATTTGCCAGTGTCAGTTTGCACATTTTGCACATGCATGAAAGGAACTGGCTCATAATTGGACATACACGATGTTGAGCAGCTGGTTACCAGTCCAGGCTAGGAATCCTGAAAACTGGTCCCCATCTGATCAGTTGGTGCATCTGTAACTTTGAATTCATGACAGCTGATTTGTCACTAACAATATCAAGCCCAAAAAATATTGTTTGGGGGACACTGCTAGACATTACAGGACAGCTGTTAAACTATATCCTACCAATGTGTATGCTATGTATTGTTTTGTTTTTTATAGCATGTCATGAATTCAATCTGCAGAAAGTCCTATATAAAGAAATACTGTTTACTTACTTGTTTAATTACTGTACAATTTATGATTTTGGACTGATGAACTGCTTTGCTTCAGTTTATGCTCTTCTTAGTGGTTCAGACACAAGTGCAAGAACAGTCTGTCAGAAACAGAAAATAATAAACAAACCCAGCCTTCTTCGTGCTTTGTGTTATTCTGTAAGTCATAACAATGCCAAGATGCATACTAAATGATCACTATAATAATATTGTGTGTGTTTTTATTGAAGGTGAGGACTTTGCAGTCGTGCAGCAGGAGATTATAATGATGAAGGACTGTAAACACTCCAACATCGTTGCCTATTTTGGCAGTTATCTCCGGTAAGAGAGTGTGTGTGTGCCAGATGTGGAGTGCAGTATTTTCTTATGGTTATTATTAGAGTGCATTTAATTGATATTTAAGTGACTCGTATTTTTATTCGAAAAAAGTATGAGTGTCAGAGAGGAAAAACACAAGCTGGTGTAAGATAGATCGAAGGAGGCGAAGGGCTCATACCTTGTGAGTAAATGTAAACATGCACTTAGACAGAGTTCTCTTTGTGTGTGTGCAGAAGAGATAAGTTATGGATCAGCATGGAGTACTGTGGAGGTGGTTCTCTGCAAGATATCTATCATGGTAAGGACACCCAGGCACAATGATTCAAACCATTTCATTTTTACTGTGATCTTTGATAGTCTCTTTTTCCCCCTCATGCCTTCTGTCTTTTTTTTTTATCTAATATTCCAGTAACCGGGCCTTTGTCAGAATCACAGATAGCTTACATGTCACGGGAGACCCTACAGGTAGTGTCTACAGTACTGATAATGTGTGCCAGATTAAGATTTAAGATTTCATCATCTTTATCATGTTATTGTTGTCTTATTTTATGAGTAATAGTAACGGTAACGTCATTTGCTGTGTAATTCTATTTGCAGGGTTTATACTACCTGCACAATAAAGGCAAAATGCACAGAGACATTAAGGTGAGTTTGGAGAAAAAGGCAGTGATTTGTTCATAAATAAAGTTATAGTCATGATTAATTGTTAAATCTGATTTCTGAAAATCTACATATTGGCTCTACATTTACACTTTGTGAGTAACATAGCAATCTACTTCAGCTATTAGGCTCATTTTTAGTTAATTAGGGTCATTCATTTGGTTCAGTAAGGCTGTTTTTTGCATTATTATTATCATTATTATTATTATTCTTTTACACTGGGACTAAGCTTAATAAATGCTTGGGAAACCTGTTGTTGGTGCACAACCACATATATTAAGCATGTGTTTGTTATAGGAAAAATGAATAGTCATTCCCCACTACCAGCTAAATCAATGACAAAGCATTTTGTTACTGTTTTGCCTTTCAGATTATACTTAGTAATACTTATTATAATTAGTATTATTATTTAAAATTTAGTTGAAGTGTAAAATTGTGTGTTTTATCCTAAAGCTCAGTATATTTTGTTTTTGTTGTTTTTATCTTTCCTTCCCCTACAGGGAGCCAACATCCTCCTGACAGACAATGGCTATGTGAAACTAGGTGAGAGAAACACGCAAGGCCTGCAATTACCTTCTGCTTCAACAGACTGAATCTGAATGGCCTCATTTGCTGACTTGTTTTTTTTTTCTTTCTTTTTTTCTTGGCCTCTCTGCTGTTCCTCTTTCACTTTGTATTTATTTCTTTACATTCTTCCTTTTCATTACATTCCTCTAATTCTATTTCCCTTTATCCACTTTTTCCTCTCCTTTTTGTTTTTTTCTTCTTCATTATTCCTTAGCTGACTTTGGCGTATCAGCCCAGATCACAGCGACCCTAGCAAAGAGGAAGTCATTCATTGGAACACCTTACTGGTAAGTTGTTTATATTTAACCAAAAGCTTCACTGACGTTGCATAGGGGTACGCAGGTAGAACAATAAAAATAAAACCCAGCAGGACAGGGCAAGGCAAGCACTTTTCATACAGAAGCAATTTAGCAATACAGAGTGCTTTACTGAGGAAAATATGAGACAAATGCATTAAAATTATAAAAGATTAATGGAAAAAAGATTGCAATTATCAAAATAAAAATTAATGATTAAAATAAGGTACAAAATTGACCTGAAAGACTTCTAACCTTGCATTTCTGGAGCCAAAAACAATTACTTGAGCCTTTTCATCGGTGAGCTGAAGGAAGTTCTGGCTGATCCACTCACTGATTTGTTGGATACATTTACTCTTCCTGTTCTGTTAGAGTGCTTTAATCCATTGGAATTGATGGCAGTTCAATACAATGCTTGCTGCTAATGGGCCAATGTTTTACACATAGGAATTTGTCAACTAATGTGTTTCTCTTCTTTATTATATTAGCTGTTCTTTAATGCAAAAGAACAAAACCCAGAAATAAATAGTACTTGTTAGTTGTAGAGAAATCATAGAGCTGCATTTGAGGTTGGGAACTTTCTGTGCTGCTGCTGGGAAATACTGTACAAAGTTCATATTCTGTTCTTGTGTGTAGTTGTGTAACCCAATTGGATAGTTGATCATTCCTCCCTCTTGTTTTCATACAGTCCTTCTGTCTTGTTTCCTTGTATAGGATGGCTCCTGAGGTAGCAGCGGTGGAGAGGAAAGGGGGTTACAACCAGTTGTGTGATATCTGGGCTGTGGGTATCACTGCAATAGAACTGGCTGAACTGCAGCCACCCATGTTCGACCTGCACCCAATGAGGTAGGAGTGTGTGTAGGCTGTGATGATGCAATGATAGTAAAGAATGTTTACAATATTATTTGGAAGATTTAATTCTTACCATTCATCTCTGCATGTATTTAATAAAAGTCAGAACCACTGACAGACATTAATGTTATTAGGTTTAGATAATTTTTGTGTGACAAGTCTAAAGGGTTACTTTACAAAATGTTGCTATATTTATGTCCTGGAGATTTTAATCTTTATTCTATTCATATATCACACTGGCTTTAGTCATTTGGAGTAGATATTGTGTATCAAATTGGCTTTATTACTGAATGCTAGGAAGGCATGTCTTTCTACACTGTTAAAGGTGATTTTTCTCATTTGTATTTCTTCTCTCCCAACAGGGCTCTGTTCTTAATGACAAAGAGTAATTTCCAGCCTCCTAAGTTGAAAGATAAAATGAAGTGGTAAGACTGTCATGCTTTTGCATATATGTTGGTCTTGCTCACATTTGCTATAGATGTAACACCCAGCTGTTTAAATGACCAGTTTTTATCATTTTACAGGGCTAAAACATTAAACCTTTTTCCTTTTTTCTCTGCATTACTCTCCCTGCTGAACTAATAGGACAAATAACTTCCACCATTTTGTCAAACTGGCTCTGACCAAGAACCCAAAAAAGAGGCCCACAGCTGAGAAACTGCTGCAGGTGAGGAAAGTTTAACTTTCAGACATTACAGTCCATCTCCAATCATATTTACATGATGTAAAACAAACAAAAATGATAGGGCTTCCCAGTCAACTTTTATGTTAAGTTAGGAAACTAGCCATGCTGACAAAAATGCTCAACACTGTTTATAAATATCAAAAGCCATTTCAGATTTGGCAGATCTCCTTTCTGAGGCGGTCTGATGGATAGCTTCCAGCTCTGCTGCTATTTTTTTTGGTTGCTTTGTGGAAATCCAATTCTGGCCACCTGCATGTGGGCTCTGCAGGTTTGTCATGAACCTAAAATGTGCATATATAAACTACTGTGTCAAATTGACCCAGTATTCAGTTTTTAAGGCGCATGCCTGAGTGAGAGCAACCACACAGTACTACCACACACTATGCAGTTTTTTGTGCAGATTTGTTGCCTGCAACTTGGTTGTTTTCTTCAAAGTGAAATTCAGGTTAAAGGGTTGCTGTTTTAACCCAATGTAGTTCCGACCAGTATCTCAAAACACACAGTGAAAAGGTTACTTGTAAAGCTACACTTTAATGTGTTGCATCACTGCCCACGAGCCATACTTTAAGGTTGAAATTGGCCAAATTTAAAACAAGATGCCCAAACAGGATGTGTGATTACACCTCAAGCAAGCAGCATTAGACTTCCAAAATAAGTCTACTAAAAAATCCACTGTTAAAAAATTAACCTTTTGCAATATTTTTTTTCCTCATTCGATCAGTCCTCAATATCTTTTAAAACTTCTAAGTGGTCATGGTGTCATGTATTATATATGAAGCGTTCACATGTGTACTAGGTGCATTCTGTGATGTTAAAAGGTACTGTGTATAAAAGAAGCTGGAGCAACGTGATACATGATGCATGAAGCAAGATCTAAATAATGGAAGGAAAGCATAAACTTCAGTTTGCTTTGTAAGCATCATTCATCACTGTGTGCTACAGCAGTTAGGGCTGTTATTTAAATGGCATATCAATTTGTCAGCACCCTAATGAGCTGCTGGATTAGTTGCAGCTCTGCTTATTTAAGAATCACATATTACCCAGTACAGTTTATTTATTTATTTTTTATTTTTTTGGTTTAAAAATGTGCCATTGGTGATGTCACCTGGATTGATTCCAACTCTTGTTTCTCTTCCAGCACCCTTTTGTTTCCCAGCCTCTCAGCAGGACGTTAGCGATTGAGCTGCTGGATAAATCCAACAACCCCGACCACAGCACCTTCAACGACTTTGACGATGACGACCCTGAGCCTGAGGTAACCTTTGACCTTCAGGATTTTCTGTTAAACCCAAAGTTTTGTCAGGCCGAGCATAAATGTGATTGTGTTTTACTCGATCATGCTTCTTTTCTTCCTCAACTTCCTTCTGTCTCCTCATTTGTCCTTTCATTAAATTCCTTTGTCATTCACAGCTTTTTCTCTCCATGCTTACTCCCTCCTTTCTTTGTCACATGTGAGTCATCTTTCTGCTCTGTCTTTCCCTTTCTTACTCATTCCTTTTTATCCACTTCTTCTTTTGCTTCTCTCAGATTTATTTCTCATTTTCTGTTTTTGGTTCACTTTTGTTTTTCTCTTCTTCTTTTTAGCACTGCTTGTATCTCCCCACATTTTATTTTCCTCTCCTGTCTTCTATTCCCCATCCCTGATCCTCTGAATCCTTAGTTTAAGTACAGGGGTCACTTTCTTCCCATAAGTCCCGGTGCTCGACGTGCACCCCGTTTTGCAGCCCGTCGGAAGGTACTACTGTTCCTGCAGTGTCTGCACTGATGTCATTCTAACACAAACTCTTCTGACAGTAGTTTTTTTTTTTTTTTCCGGAGGGGGGGCAGGGGGGGAATAGGACTACAGAACTGAATGAATAAAAAGTAAATTTCCAGTTCAGTTTCTGCTGGTGTTGCCGTGGAAGTCGACATTGGTATGTGAAACAGTCATTTGATGGCTTACTGTGGCGGTTTCATAGACCTTTCTGTTGACATTCAAATCAGCTGACTTTATACAACTGCATCACACAAAATTGCGTCATTATTCTTATTCTAAAATTTGCTTATAATATCTTATGCACATTTTACTTGAATGCTTTAAGTAATGAGATTGTTAGAGATAAAAAAACAAATTCAGCTTTGCTCCTAAACTTTAACATTTTCAGAGCACAGTTGAAGTTAATGATTTAAGCCACAACTGCACAGCACTCATGTGTGAACAAAATAGAAAGATAAGGGTTGGCTATAAGGAAATTCCAGTGATTTATTACTTACTGGGTTTTACGTCATCTCTGTGTAGTTGTGAACAAATAAAAGGCCATAATAGGATAAGGTCCACTGTATTTCTCCTAATAATTTGGGAAACTCTTGTATTACAGCAGCCAAAACATTAAGTAGAATAAATCAGTGGATCATTAAAATAGAATAAGATAAAACATTAAGGTAAAAATGTCACAGATCCCAATTAAAAACAAAAAATAATTAAGTAAAAAACTTTAAAAAACAGCGGTAGAATAGAAATGGCTTCATAAATGTAACAAACTATAAAGTTTATAGTATTTATGACTGACATATAGTGACTATAGGCAGATAAAAGTAACCTTCCAACAACAACGACTGGCGACATCGGTGAGAATCAAAGGGGAATGCAGGAAATCGGGTCAGTTTTTCACTAGCACCTCAACTTGACTCTACTTTGCTCTACACAGTTTCAGTTGTTTTCCATTACAGTTTTATACCATTTTAATGTCTCATATGTGTGCAACACAAATACAACACAACACAAATACATCTGGATCTTGTCATTGGACCAGTGTTGGTTGGTTTGTAGCCCATTTCCTTATTTGCCATGTCTAATAAAATAGTGGTATTATTCTTGCACAGGAGTCACCCTCATGACTCATCCAGTGATGTTACTTCCTCGCCTATCAGTGGCATGCAGTGTTTTGACGTCACATTTTCAGCTCAACTTGGCTTGCTTGGAAACCCGGCCAAGTCGGCACTACCACCAAACAGAAAGCCCTAAAAGTCAACTTGAGCGGTTGCTAGTGGAAAAAAGGCATAAATAGCATCACTAAGGATCTTTTCCATTCACTTCAGTTCTGTAGCACCTGGGATGATAAAGAAATGCCTAAATTCATAAAGATGGCTTCAAAAATATCACATTGTCACTCTCTCTAGAATTATGTTTTTAATAGGGGTGCAACGATACACAAAATTCACGGTTCGGTTCGGTTCGATACTTTGGTGTCACGGTTCGATATTTTTTCGATACAAAAAAAATGTTCATGCCTTTTTAATTTGTCATTTATTAAAATTATAAATATATATTTTAACTCAAAAGTACAGTTTTTAAATTTAATGTTGCTGAAACAAAAGTAATTAAAAAAATAAATCTGATTGAGGAATCACTCATCTTTGGAAAAGAGAGTTTATTACAGAGAAATGGCTCTTTCCAAAATAAAAGCTATACTATACGCTTCTTCTGGGCTATATTCTCAGCAGCATATTGTAGCGGGTCAGGGCTGTTCGGGGTTCTGTTTGTACAGTTATGTTTTGTTTATGTTGCCATAGTGACGGGTGACGCCCTCTCGCTGCGACGGTGTGTCCTTCCGGGGTCAGAGGGCGCCCTGTGTGTTGTTGTTGTTGCTGTGCGGTTGCCGCGCTGAGCAGTTAGCTAGCGGCAGTGTTCTTCTGCAGATGTCAATAAACGGCTGTGCTCCCTGGCTAGCTCACGGGAAGCAAGACCAAACGACACCTCCGTCTCCTCGTTGTCTGAGCTCGCCACATTGGTGTCAGAAGTGGGATGATGGTGGCACCCCATGTTCTGACCCGAGTGACTTTTCCCCCGCCGGTCGTGACCGGCCGGTGCGCCAAAAGAAGGCACCTGGACATTTGCAAAGTGAAAGCAAAAAACAAGCGCAAATTCAAACGCGATTTCAATATGTCACATATTGACAGTGGCTCACCGATGCCAATGACATAATTACCCAGCTACATTTCCGAAAGAATGCAAAAGCATTGACATATATTTTTCCTTCCTACAATAGCCCAACGGGCAGGGCAGAGATAGATTTTGGTAACCCGACTGGAAAAATCGCTAGCCCCGGGACGTCGGGCTAGCGATTTTGCAAGCCCTGTGTTACAGGCATGGCCCTTTAAGGATGAAGCCTGATGGGAAATGTATTCGGGATGTGTGTAGCGGGACTGCCTGGTGTGTGTGTGAAGAGAGAGAGCGGAGAAGGGGAAAAAGTAACGGTTAGCTACAGAAGAGACGAAAAGAAAATAAATAAAAGGAATATAATAACTCCCTCGACAGCCAGAGTTGTGTCGGCGATGCTCGCTGTGAGTAAACTGTTTCAGCCCACTGTACGCGGTGTTCGTGCCTTAGAGAAGAAATAAAGTTCGGTGAAGCAGTTTCCTACGCCTCCTTCGATCTTTTTGCTAGCGGAGTTGACCTGTATAGTAAGCTGTTGCCGGCTACGAGTCAGTTACGGAACCTTCAAGTAACTGCCAGAGGTTTCCTTACTACGGTTCGGGGCCGCGGATCTGGCGCGGTAACACCTGTATCTGATTGAGGAATCACTCATCTTTGGAAAAGAGAGTTTATTACAGAGAAATGGCTCTTTCCAAAATAAAAGCTATACTATACGCTTCTTCTGGGCTATATTCTCAGCAGCATATTGTAGCGGGTCAGGGCTGTTCGGGGTTCTGTTTGTACAGTTATGTTTTGTTTATGTTGCCATAGTGACGGGTGACGCCCTCTCGCTGCGACGGTGTGTCCTTCCGGGGTCAGAGGGCGCCCTGTGTGTTGTTGTTGTTGTTGCTGTGCGGTTGCCGCGCTGAGCAGTTAGCTAGCGGCAGTGTTCTTCTGCAGATGTCAATAAACGGCTGTGCTCCCTGGCTAGCTCACGGGAAGCAAGACCAAACGACACCTCCGTCTCCTCCTTGTCTGAGCTCGCCACATTGGTGTCAGAAGTGGGATGATGGTGGCACCCCATGTTCTGACCCGAGTGACTTTTCCCCCGCCGGTCGTGACCGGCCGGTGCGCCAAAAGAAGGCACCTGGACATTTGCAGGACTTTGTGTGGGGTAATGGGGTCGTCGGGGACGACTGACCCCTTAGGTGGGGGCTATGTAGCGGGTCAGGGCTGTTCGGGGTTCTGTTTGTACAGTTATGTTTTGTTTATGTTGCCATAGTGACGGGTGACGCCTTCTCGCTGCGAAGGTGTGTCCTTCAGGGGGCAGAGGGCGCTCTGTGTGTTGTTGTTGCTGTGCGGTTGCCGCGCTGAGCAGTTAGCTAGCGGCAGTGTTCTTCTGCAGATGTCAATAAACGGCTGTGCTAGCTCACGGGAAGCAAGACCAAATGATACCTCCGTCTCCTCATTGTCTGAGCTCGCCACAATATTAAACATATCAGGTCCCCATAAGGAGAATCATGTGCTAACGCTGTCTAAATGACTCGGGTAAAGTTTGTAGCATGCATGCTTGTTGTTTTTGTCTGCTTCCACTTGTCTTTGCACTAGGATGATGTTGGCGTAAATGTGCAGTCATATTCGTTGTGTTCCCACTAGTGATGTCAGCGTTAATCTCGTTGAAATGACGTTAACGCCACAACACCGCAAATCTCCGTTAACGAGCTATCCTGCGTGGGGCTAGACAGCCAACACGTTAACGAGCTAACTGCGCTAACACACTAGCTCCCACCCATGTAATTGAGCATTGCGTGGCACATCCAACATACTGTTTTACTTTAGTCCATGACGCGCTTACCTTCAGGGTCATATGTTACATGAAAACCAAAATAATTCCAAACGCCAGATCTGAATGAGGGTGGGAGAGGTGCAATTTGCCATGTTGCAAGGAGAGCTTAACTTCTGTCTCGCTAGCTTGCCCTGCGCTCTTCCTTCTGACTATGCTGTCTGTGTGGAGCGCTCAGTGGATCTGCGCTCGACAGTGCAGCCTAGGCGGAGTAGTCGAACGCAGATTCACTGAGCGCTCCACACAGACAGCATCATCAGAAGGAAAGTTGATAAAATAAATTACAAATGTTGTATTGTTCGATACATATGCGTACCGAACCGAAAGCACTGTATCGAACTGTTCAATATCGATATGAATATCGTTGCACCCCTAGTTTTTAAGTGTTAAATTCCTACACAAACTCATGGGGGGAAAAAAAGCCTCCAACCTGTTGATGTTTCAAATATTAGACAAAAGAAAATGTAGTGTTGTGGAAGGCCAAAAGGCTGTAGGTTGCTAAAGTGTTATAGCTATGGACGCCATCTTCACCTGTCTTTAACCTTTCAGGTATTAATCATGGTTTGTGTCTAATGAGAATGGACTATGAGAATAATTGCAAACAAGCAAACAAAAATGTCTGTTGGAGGAGCCGAGTTCTAAATGTTGCTTTGATTGATGCATGGTCTTTTGTAGTCTTGGTTTGTCTTCCAGTGCTTCATAAGCATGCACTGAGGTTGCTGTGTCATTAGATTTCTGTGGGATGGAGTTTGGATTTTATTTTAAATTAACAATAACTGTGGTTCAAAATAAGAATGGCCAGCTGCACTCATGACATATAAAATAACTAAGTACCGTTTTCCATTTCAGCATTTAAACCCTGTTTTACCGCTTGTATTAAGAATGTAGATCATCAGATGATGATGATGAGATACTGTGTGACAATCTCTCTGTTATAAAGCTTCCAATGTAAAGAGGACTTTACAGCTTACAGGTATCCAGTGTTTGGAACCAAAAGGGTGGATGAATGTTTTTCCTCTGACTGTGTTGCTGTTGTTTGTTTTGGTTCTTGCAGTGTGTGTGTGTGTGTGTGTGTGTGTGTGTGTGAGACTCTCTGTCTTTGCTGTGTCATCAAATCCCACCCACAGGAAATAGCAGTGGGATTATGTTTTTGTTCTTAAACCTATTGTGATCTTTCCAAATCTAGTGCAAACCACTACACCGAGTGTCCAGAGCAGCTTTGACACTGTCTGCTCTTCTTTTTATTTCCTGATAGTCCCCGGTTCCTTATCGTATCCGCTCCACCAGCAGGAGCACCAGAGAAGGAAAAACACTGTCCGAGATGAAATGTGAGTTGCTACAAAAGGTCAATGTGAATAAATACAATGTCTTTAGTATCTTTTTCCTCCTTCTTCAATAATCTTACTCAGTATATATATCTCCCTACCTCATGATATTCCCATCCTCCCCTCTCTCTTATTTTGCCTCTCTCAGTCGATCAAGTGAAGTTTGATAGTCTTTTGGAAAAGGAGACACAACCTCATCATGAACCGGTGAGTTGATCAGATTATGTTTGTATGTGTGCGAATGAGATGAGATTTGTGTGGTTGTTAATTAACCAGTACCAACTTGGCTGTCCCTCACCTAATCACACATGGCACCTCCACCAATCTATGTTTTTCTCTGTCTGTGTTGAACCAATCCTAGTTAAATATTCTAAGGTTTAGGAATGGCATGTTTCGCTAATTATTATATGGGTATAACAACAGAATTGGCAGAAATCTAATGCCCAGTTGCATATAAAATCAGATTTACAGTAACCAGCAGGCTGTTGTGAATATATCATAAAGAGAGTAGTCCCTGGTGGATCTTGTGCTTGCTGGAGGGATTAAAAGTCCAATTTGATCTGGAATGTTTTGGGATTCACCAAACCCTGAAGGCTGTGGCTGAACAGTGTTATTGCAGTAGCTTAAAATACACAACCCAGCTGGATAAACAGCTCTATGGATTCATTTTAATGAAGTTGTAACTGTAGACCTATTGTTATTGCTGTTTGACAAACACAGGTATGATTTGTCAGTAGTAGCTTTCTTTCGCTACTGGTTGGACAGAACTCAGTAGAATAAAAGTCGTGTTCTTGGCTTTCATTTGCATAAAATTTGTAATTTATCTTGGTCAGATTATGCTCAGTTTTGGTCAAAAAGTTAGCATAGGTTCTTTAAAAAAATCTTTGGCTGAGCTATGATTTCTTGATATTTTTTCCCAGTATATGTTGCTCCCCGACTTCCTTTTCACCTTTTGTCCTTTCTTTGCACGTCTTCCACTGTCCCCACCCTCTTAAAGTTGTCTTTGATAGTTCACCAAAAAATCTAACCAAACCTTTATTTTGTCGTCTCTTTATCTTTTGATCTATAAATTTAGATTAATGCTATCATATTAACCTCATATGATCTGTATCATTTATCAACAATCATTCATTTGTCCATTAAATTTCTACTCTCTTTTCAAGGGAACTCTGGCAGCTTGCATTACATTTGTCTTGTGACATGTGTAGATTTTAGCTTTTAGCTTGTAACTCCAAGATCCATCCAATGAGGACTGCCATGCTGTTTTAGCATTCATATTATAATATTTTGATCAAAACAGACTCTGTGCAAGTATTTTTTTTTCTCTCTTTTTTTTGCAATAGTGGCCAAAAATCAAACAGACCCATAGTAACAGAAAGTACCTCTAAAACGCTGATCACAAGTTTACGGACACTCATCATGGGCTTGAATAACTTGGTAAATTCTGGCTTTTAACATGAACGGTTCTCTTTCCAGGATGAAATTATTGTACAGCATATGTCTTTAATAACTTAACAAAGCAAGGATTGAGTGCACAAGTTTGAAATATTTTTGGATTTCTTTAATCCACACAGGTTCTAAAGTATACATACACACCCACTAATATTTGGATAAATGTCCCTTAGCAAGTCAGACCTTTTGGTATCCATCAACCGTCTTCTGGCTGAATATTTGACCATTTTTCTTGTCAAAATTGGAAGAACTCATTTAAATTACACTTTAGCAGCATGATTCAAAGAAAATGTTAATAGCCTAAACATACCAGGACATCCATACCCATGATGAGTGAGAAATGCATGTGTGGAAATACTACCCAGAATACAGCTGGCTACCATTAGTTGTTTAATTTGTATGTAGAATGTTATGAAAAGTACCCTTATTATACCCTTATTAACTTTATATTTTGTAGGCTCACATATATGCTGTTGTAGCACAGTTTATTATTTTCTCTCCATTCCAAACCTCCATCTATGTTTTAAACTCACATCTGTCTCCTCCTCTCTTGAGATTATTATTCAAATATACTCTATCCTTTTCTTGCCAAGTCAAGCACCTATTAAAAACTAAATAAAAATGGCCTTAAGCTACGTACACACTGGAAGTGATTCATAGTGACCCATAGAAATAGAATGACATTTGGCGACTTGACGCAAATAAAGACAACTTAACTCTTGCTGAGTTGAAGTGGGCGGGACACAAGATAAACTGTTCCCAACTTCCAGGCAAGTGACTGAAGAATACCCTTGACCGACATATGACCTGGTAGTAAACTATAGAGAGTAACTTAGACAACCGGAACCTGGAATGTCTAAAAGCGATGAGCCACCAGCTTGAAAGCGATGTGCGACGAGCGAATCATTTCCAGTGTGGACACAGCTTTAACCCAAACTCATTTTTCACAAGTCATCCCTTCCCTCCATATCACCATTCCTACCTGTTCCCCACCATTAGTCCAGGACAGGTTAATGTATTAACTGAGGTCTCTCTCGCTCTGTCTTGCTGACCAGTGTGATTCTGAGCCCTATCTGGACTGTGTTGAGGAGCTCTACTATACAGCAAGATCTAATCTGGTAGTACACCTTTAGTCTCTCTTTGTTTCAGCCTCTCCATCTCTTCAGCTGTTGGCCCATTTATTTTCAGTCTGTCAATTTTTAACGTCATGCTTTATTTAAAATATAATTTAATTTTTTCTCTCCATCTTGCTCATTCTTAAACTCTGAAGGATGAGTCCTTGTCCTACTTTTGTCCTTTTTCAGCGCTCTGAATCTCTCGGCTGCTCGATGTCCAACTTGTATATTTGTTATTTCACATTGTTGATCCATCTCTTCTAGTCCACCCGTCTGTTACTGCCCATCTTTATCTTCTTTTTCCAGCTTCAGCTTTTGCCTCACGAGCTGGTGTTGTAGTTGTCATAGTGATTAGAGTCGTTAGCGCTATTGTTGTTGTTGTTTCTCATATATGCATAAAACACACAGATTGGCACACAGAGGTATAAACACAGGGAGGGACACTACAGTGGAGAGGCATGTTACTCAGCAAATGTCTAGTTGAGATGTATTGAAGAATTGTGACAGAAGGGTAGCTTTCAGGGGGGAAAAGCATATTTTGGGGAAAGTCGGCTAACTTTTCTAGTATTTTCTCCTTTTAAAATCAGATTTAACTGGACATGCAGTTTTTATGTGTCAGTAAAGTGCTTCAAAATGACTGCCAAGATACCTGCCAAGTCGTAAGACTTACTTCAAGAAAGGCTTTAATATAGAGGAAGATATATCAGGTTCAGCAATGGAGCTGCAGCTCTAAAGGCTGGTAGTGGTGCAGTGCCTTGCTCAAGGACATCTAAAGGAGATTTAAAGTATATAAAAGGCATGTCTGCTCAAATTTATTAACACATACACTTTTAATGTGTGTTCTATGGTACTCAATATTTCTTTTCCCTATTTCTGATGTTTCCACAGAATGCGCTTCTCTCATTTGTAAAGTGTTGCTTATGTTTTTCTAACCTCTTGTAGTTAACCAGAGTAGCGAGGCCTTGTTTTTTGCTTTGTTTTTTGTCTGTTAGTATGCGTGTTTCTTTGTAGTTTCTTTGTAGCATTGGTGTTTTGTGTCTGCTCATCTGGAGTGCGCATTTCCTCTTGCATGCTTTTTGCTTTCAGGCGTAACATTCAAAAATATTTCTCTGACAAGATGCTGCATTCACATTGTGGTTTTTATGTCACCAATATCCAACCAGAATTTCATTGGTTGATTTAAATTCAGGACCGTTGTCATAGTGCTGAATTTATTGTCAGCCTGCAGAATCATAAAATCTGCACAACTGATTCTTTATTAGCCCGCACGCTCTCAAATGTGCTTTATGACAACATAACACTTTTCTTACCAAAGTTATCTAAAACATTGGTTCCCAATCCACGGTTTGCGAGCCACTTAGGGGTCCACCAATGTATCTGATAACTGCTCCAAAGAGTTACTGGTGTACTTTACTGTACTAAAGATACTTTGTATTAGGGATGTCACTAGGGCTGTTCGATATAGTGATATATATCGGATGACGATATAAAAACGTCTATCGTTTCATTTTACGCTATCGTTTGTTTCGTGGTGTTGCAAAATAAACTGTTTACGGCAATATTTTTTTTCATCCTTTTGACAGTCACTGTAGTGGCTATATTCATTTCTTCTTTCTCTCTTTCTCTTATATTTAATATAACCACACTACGGACGGACAAGCGCCTGTTTTTATGCGCTGTGTTTAGCAACAACGACGGTAACACCATCTCGTGTCCGCTTGTTTATGTTCCATATAAACCTTTCACAATAAAGCTCAAGATCCTGTTGAGACTTTTCAAAATAAACTGAATCACGTGAAAGAGTATGCAGAGTATTTACGGATGAGAAGCAAAAAAGAGACGCCAGGTGCTAAAAAAAAATAAGAATTTACAGAAAATGTTACATTTTTGTGATTTATATCGTTATCGGGACGATAGATGTCTTATATCGGGATATGAGATTTTGGTCATATCGCACAGCCCTAGGTGTCACTAAAAATATGTATTGATTGTTTGATTGATTTAGAAAACAAATATGTTAGTAATGAAATATAATAATATTAGAAATAAGTTTGTAGTTGCTCTTTGTGCATGCTTCTGTAAAGTTATGGCTTCAGACTCTGTCATACATTTGTGTTTTTTGTCATTTTACCCAAGAAGTCAACACAAAAGAGCAAAGCTTTAGATAAACTTGACCAATAGAAGTACTGCTGTCTAGATATTGCAGAGAGACTTATTTCTGTCTTGTTACTGTGACTATTTTGACAAAGATAATGAATTGAGAAAATCTGATTTTAACATTATATGCCTCCTTTAGAGGTGTTGAATGCGTTTGGAAGATAAAACCTTTTCGTTTAGTCATGTTTCCAAATACAAAAATACTGTAACTGCAGTCAACAGTAGTAACAGAATGTTCAATTGAAAGGACAAGGAGCACATCACAACCACCGCACTACAATATTTTACATTAGTGAAACCTATTTAATGATAGTTAATAAAAATGATTAACGTATCTACTGTCCTGTATTTCTTGGATTGGATTTTAGTGGAGTTTGGGTTTCTGGGTTAATTCATAGCTGGTAACTTCAGTAACCGACAGCATGTTACATTTTCTGTCTTTCCCTCAACTGTTTTGTGAAATAGTGCATGTTTTCACCTGTTTGTGACCTAAAAGGAACTTGTGTCATCTAGAAAATAAGTCATTGACTCAACAACAAGTCAGTGCATGAGACCATAATGCAAAATTTTAGGGTTTCACAAGCCCAAACGACAGGGAACCACTTTTTGGAAACAACTTCTGTGTTCTATCTGTGAAGCCAGTACTAGCAAAAATTAGCAGGGTGAGTAGGATGATAATGTTTCTTTTCATCATTGTTTAATGATGACATTGAAATTAGTTACTTGGTGTGCACCTAATTATTGGTCCTTTTCCTAAACGTGTCAATGGCCAGGCTTGTTTTGTGGCTAACGCCCGATGATTAATATATGTAGTATTAGACCACAATGTGAGTTCAGCAAGTGTCAGCTCTGTATAACTATAAATACCCATATGCTCACCATATACATCTGTGAATGTCTGTGGTTATGAATTATACTTCAGGTGAAAGAGCTTCTTATTGTGGGTATGATTTCCAGCAGGCTGCTGTAACGTCACCACAGCTGCTACAGTGGCAGCGTCTGCATTCATTTGGCAACTGAAAAGGGCTTCAGTGATGGCCACAACTTTAAACGTGGTTTACTGCCTCAGTTGGCCAAGATCTACAGCACCTGTTAATATATGTATAAATGAACTATTTATGAAGGGTTATGTCACAGTTGTAATCTAATTTGTCTTGTAGGATTTGCAGCTGGAATACGGTCAAGATTCATCGCGTTTTTTGGGAGGAAACAAGTAAGTCTGGCTTGTTTCTTTTCTGTTTTTAAACATTTACCTCCCCCTGGATTCTCTTCTTTTATTTCATTGTCAGTTGCAGCTATCCTTCATTTTATTTCATTTTTTTTTTTTAATTTTAATGTCTAGATTGAGCGAGGATGTAGACAATAAGAAGACTTGGAATGTGAAGAGATTTTCTGTTGTGCATTTCAAAGTCTGTGCCAACTTTATGACACTGTCTGTATGCAGCTTTCTGCTCACAAGCATGCATTGTAAGCAGAAAGCTGAGGTTCAGATAAGCACAGCAGAATGTCCTCTAGACTGGGAAGGACTAAGATTTTATTCTTGATACACAAAATCAAAACCTAGGTACTTTTGTCTTTCTTTTTATTCTGTCATTTGTGCTTTTCCTACTTGTCAAACAGGAGTCTTCTCAAATCGGTGGAGGAGGAGCTGCAGCAGAGGTGAGTTTACTCCACTTTGGCGTCCACGTTCAGTGTCTTGGATCTGCTGGTGCTCTAACCACGCCTACCCATGAGCCAATCATTGTTTAACGGCAGGACTAATGAGGCCAATCACATGCAACTAATGCTATAGTAATTACTTCAGGCTGTCTCACTGCTCTCGGCGTTTTGGATTCTGCTGGGTTTTATTTCCTCTCAGGCTTGCTTCTTGCTTTGTTCTCATTAGGAAATGGCTGCGCTTCATAGAAGCTTCCTGCAGAGCATGGCTCTCACACACACATGCACGCACACACCAACAAACATGCACATTCTCATGTGTGCAGTCACACATATGGACATAGAGTTTTAGCCACTGGGTTTCATTTTCTATGGAGAAATTCCTCTTCACTGCTCAAAAGATAATGATTGCTATTTATGTGCTTTGCTACTTTTGGTGAGTAAGTCTGATATGAAAAATGTGTTTCACTGAACTCTAGATTAGCTTGTACATTAATAGGCATCAGGTACAAAGTTGTCTTAAATATTTCCCTTAGATGTTAAACAGCAAATCTTAATAGCAGGTCTGCTGGATGGTTGCTTGTTAGCATTATTGTCTCTAGGCTAAAACATCTAAGGCTACAAAATGTTGTGGCTTTACTTGGAACTTAACACGTCCAGGTTTTCTGTCTTTTTGGCTCCTTTATTGATCAAAGGGTTACTTAACATCTTTGAGGTTTTTACATGTATAGTTAAATAAATATGAAAAACAACCTTATCAGATGTTTTAAATTGATGAACAGCAACACGTGATGTATGATGTGTCATTATTTATTTAACAAAAACTAAGACGAAACCAAAGGAAGTGCGTGAAACACTAAGTGAACCGCATCTGGAGCCACCTTTACCACTGATAACTTGAAGCAGTTGTTTTCTGTATGACTTCATCAGTGTCTCACATCATTGTGGCCATTGTTAAGTTCATATTATTATCTTAAGGTTCTACCACAGCTTTTCAGTCAGGATTGGACTTTCACTGGGTCATTGCAACACCTTGATTTTGATTTTTAGTCATGCTTCTGAGCTTGGGATCACTGTCCTGTTTTTTTGACCTAATTGTGGCCAAGCTTTACCATATTTGATTCTACAATCCTTTGGCATACCAATGAGTTCATGGTTGGCTCAATGACTGCAAGATGCCCGGGTCCTCTGGCTGCAAAATAAGCCCAGGTCATCATTGGGCATGGAAGTTTTTATGCGTTACGTTGAAGTCACGTGTTTCTTTTTTTTTGTTTTTATCTCTTCAAATGTAGAACTGTGCGTTATGGCCAGACATCTACACTTTGGTCCCACCTGTCCAAAGAAAATTGGTTGGAATGTCTTGTGGTTTGTTCAGATGCAAATTTGCAAACCTAAGCTGTACTGCCATGTTTTTGTTTTGGAGGGTTTTTGCCAGGAGAAAGAAGAGGTTTTCTCCTGGTAACATTTTCAAACAAGCAACACTTGAGCAGTCTTTTCCTGATTGTAGTGTTATGAACTTTTGATGTTTAACATGCAGGCTGAGTGCTGTAGAACCTGAGGTGAAGCTCTTGGGGTTTCTTGCAGTTTCTCCGAGCCTTGCATGATCTGAGCTTTGGGTGAACCTGCATCCACTCCTGGGACAATTAGCAAGCTTTTAAACGTTTACTTTTTTGAAGGTGCTCACGCTTGCTTATCATCATATATTCAAGTGCATTTAATTAGTAGCACCTGGTATCTACACTCTTTTAATTGTTGTGGAAGCAGTAACGGCGTACTTAGTCCTTCACATACTGCTTTGGTATTTTGTATTAAAATTATGACATGGTTTAATATGTTATGTGTTGTTGTTCATCAGAGGTTCTATTTACCCATTTTTAAGACATGCTAAGGGCCAAATTATTTTTATTATCTCCTGATATGTAAAACATTAGGATAGAGAGAGTTTCAAACAAAGGCCGGGTTTCTCTGTCCTTGGGATAATGAAAGGACTTTTACCAGTATTTGAGAATTTGATATAATATAATATATAATATGATTTAAAAGGTTACGCTTACTGTTGACGTGTGTAGATCTATAAGGACTTAATGGTTCAAACTGGACCGCTGGGTTTGGAAGTGTCTGGTTGTGGAAGTAATTAGCCCTCAGACCGTTTCTCTTGGTTGTTCAGATGAGTCATTTTGCTGATTTTTGTGGATTGCAGTAAAAATTGGGTCATGCTTTTATTTGAACCTATTCAGTCCTTTCAGATCTGCACAGGGTCAGGAGTTCAGAAGTAGTTTGTGAACCAAGCTTCACTCAGCTTTCCCTCCCCTTCCCCCTTCTTCCTCTGTCCTCTTCTGCCTCCGCCTTCTGTTGTCATCCCCTATCTCCTTTGCTTGCTCCCTTTCTCCCCTGATCACTCCTCCTTATGCCCCCTCTCCCACTCCTCCTTTGTCCTTTCTTTCCCCGCCCCCCTTCCTGTCTTCACCTCCTCTCCCAGGGGCCATGTGGCACACTTAGGGGATGATGAGGATGAGGATGATGATGGTGCAGATGATGATGAAACTCACACTCAGTAAGTTCCCTCTCAGTCTTAGAACTGGAAGCCTCTCCAAATCCTTCTTTTCCCATCTTTCCCTCACTTGTTTCAGAGGAAAGACTGAGAAGGAAGACAAGGAGTTAAGGCTTCCTACCTTTGCCAGTTTCATCCACACATCTTTATGGAGCACACCCCACCATCACGCCACATACGCCACCTGTTTGTGTGTGTGTGCCTGCTGCCTTTGTGTTTTCCACGCTTTCTTAAAGCTACTAACAGTAACCCTAACCCTAAATGTTCACCAAGAGGCTATTGATATTTCCTCATATATTCTTTCAGTAGTAGAAATGTAATAAATGGAGAAGTGTAGGTGTCACGCAAACAACACAGCATTAAAATATACTTTATAGCTAAAGATTTGACATGTTCTATATGGATCGTTGAGCCTGAGTTCAGTTTCATTCTTTAGATAACTGATGCTCATGACCTTGTCCTCTTGTGTGCTGTTGTCTTGTTTTGTTCTTCACTGGCTCCGCCATCTGTGTGCCTTCTTGCTCTGTGTGTGTATGAGTGTGTGTGAGATCACACTGCCTTCTGTCTTATCTTGCCTCTATAAAACTGGAGATCTGGCAGCCTCTCCCCTCAGTGTAAAAGCCAAATGTCTGCGGCAGGCCAGAGTCTTTTTTTTTTTCCTTTTTTCTAGACAGATATTTTCCACCACAGTCAGAGAGGCCTTTTGTGCTTTATATTATAGGATTTTCCCTTCAAGTTATATCCACAACACACAGTGCTGTGATTGCACAAATGAAAATAACCTGAATTCCTAAAGTGGCTGCAACCTGTTGTGCTGTAGCAGTTTCTAGCTTTTGTAGTTTCTGTTGTGTTGTGGTGGGGGGGAGGGGTTTTTTTTTCTCTCAAGGGTTTTTTTTTAAGGTGTTTAAGAGCGATAAAAAAACAAAATCTTCTAGCCAAACAAAAAAGGAAATTTCCTCCAGACAAAGGAACAAAAGTATTTAGTCCCTCAGACTCTATGTAAACAATATAGAGAAAGTGTAGCCGAGGGGTGGGCAACTCCAGGCCTCGAGTGCCGGTGCCCTGCAGGTTTTAGATGTGTCCTTGATCCAACGCAGCTGATTCAAATGGCTAAAGTTCCTCCTCAACATGTCTTGAAGAACTCCAGAGGCCTGGGAATGAACTAATCATTTGATTCAGGTGTGCTGACCCAGGGTGATATCTAAAACCTGCAGGACACCGGCACTCGAGGCCTGGAGTTGCCTACCCCTGGTGTAGCCGATGCAGAAACGACTTGAACCTGCACTCTGCTGTGACTCTTCTGGTTCCAAAAAGGGCTTCCAGTTTTATACAAATCTATGGAAAAATAACACTTTTGACTCCTTTGCTTTGAGACGTTAGACAATAATTAAACTGGAGACTTGATGAAGCGTTATTAAGTTTTATTGATTAAGTATGATGTTAATTCATTAGCATTTTAGTGTGAGAAAGGATGATAAACTTGGGTGTGCTTGTCATTGACAAGTCTGTAGCCAGTGAGCGTACAGTATCCGTTGGTTTCTCAGTCTCCAGTTTAGTTTGAGAACACAAACTGTTGCTGATCACGAAAACACTTAGCTTAAGCCTTCACATCCAGACTTGACGACCAATGGATGGTCCCCAAATCAACTTAGTTACTGAGTAAAAGTTAAAGTTAGGAGCATTTGGATTACATAGACACTAAATTTTGAAAATCTTTAGTGTAGGTATCAAAAATTCGAATAGATTTTGTTTCTTTTCAAGCATCTTAAAATAATTTCAGTTGCAAATAAATTCCCTTTTGCATATTCAGCATTTTAAAGTTTTAAAGTTATGATCTCGGCTTTGTTGGGGTTTTTGGTTGGAAAAAAAAAAAGTATCCATAACTCGAAATTTTGACTTATTAACTTGATATTTCAAGAAAAGTAGCACTGCCAAGCAGTAATCTACGTGAATGACATCATTTCCTTGTTACCCGGAAGCTGAAGCCCTAAGCTACAAATGCTACAGCTAAGCTACCAGTAAGTAAGTCATGAAAGCACAAATTGCTGAGTATTTACAACATGGCTTCACAAATGATGTTAGCTGAATCACATGGCGTTACTATCAGCCAACGTACTCTCAAAAGCACCAGTTTGTTGCGATACAGTTTTGAGTGCGCATTCCTCTGCGCCATATCCTTCCAGGTACAAGAAAATGACATCATTCATGTAGATTACTGATTGGTAGAGCTAACTTGAAATTTACTCAAGTTACTTTTCTCAGAATTTCGAGTTGATAAGGGAAAATAACTCGAAATTTAGAGTTGTGGATACTTTTTTATTTTTTTTTAGTGGTGGAAACGGGCTTCCATATTTTGGTCATAATCTGATTGCATAGTCCTTATCACCAGCCTTGTGTTTAGCATCAGTGCATTCTAAGAGAGCTGCTTTCTTCCTGCTTTCTTTAGAGATGCTTTTATGCTTACTGCACCCATGCGTGGCTTACCACCTTAAGTGAATGTGTAAACTATGTCAGTCACAGATTAGTTTTGTACTGATAAAGTTTACACTTTAAGCTTCTTTAAGGGAGGTAATCTTTTTCTGTGTCTCCCACTCAGCTTAAATACTGCAACTTCTTTTCTTGGTACCCCCATCTTCATTTTTCACTGTGATTGGCTCCCAGCCTCTCTCCATTCTGATTTGTGTGCTGTGATTGGTTCTTGTCCATAACTTAACTACAACATTTATAAAATGTCATGGATAAAGTCTCTGAAATTGTGCTGGTCGGGAGGCATAATTGCAATTACTCTTCTATTTCTTTTCCTTTAAAAAAAAAAAAAGATTTTAAGAGGTGCTTTAAATGAGAGCAAGACACAAACTCTAATTTATTTACACTAAACATAAATTTTAATTTTAAAAGTAATACTTTTACTAAAATATTATTAAGTTTGTCAGTATCAGCGCTATCTATTCAGAGGCTTTGCACACGCTGACCCTTCTTTGTTTTACTGTTGTCTAAAGTTCTTGTCTTACTTTATATTTTGTGGTTAACCTTTAATGACCTTTCTATTATATCAGTTTGTGTGTAAGTGGCATTGGGCTGTGGTTAAACCTGTTATTTGAGCCTTTGATTTCACATTCAGTGAGCCTGCAAAATATTACATCTCATCTGATCTGGGTTCACAAATGTGTCGATTTTTTCGATTATTTTTAAAACAAATCTGACAATTTTATTTTCTAAACCCAACCCAACCAATAAAATGGTTGGGTTTTGTTTTTTTTTTAAGAAAAACTCTGGATTGTAATTATGCGTTGAATGTAATAACTTAGCTTATAAATGGCTTAAAAATGGCAAGTCAAACCATAGCTTCAGTGCTAACATTCTAACATATACTTATTGTTTCCCATATATTTCCTGGTTGTAAAAAACGGCAGCTGTTTTGAGTATCTTGTCACAGATTTTTCCCTCTTATTCTTCAGTAAATCAAGCACCATCATGAGGCCAAGGGTCCCACCCCCACTTCCTCCTAAGGTAGGAAAAACTGTGTCTGTAGTTAGCAGAATTTTTGAACTAGTAGCAATTTTAGTGCTCAGAATATGAAAAAAGGAACTGATTTCTTATACAATCTTTTTCTTCTTCTTCTTCTTCTTCTTCTTAAGCCCAAATCCATCTCCTCACCCCATAATCAGACGGATCAAAAACACGACGACAGCCACTCACACAGTGAAGATGACGGTGGAGGGGGAGGGACCATCAAGCGCTGCCCAGTGCCAGAGACGCCGAGCCCCGCCAAGCCCGCCTCCTATGTCCCCCCGCGTCCTCCTCCCCCGAAGCTGCCGCCCCACCGCCGCAGTAGCCTAGGTAACGAGAGCCCGAAGCTCAAAGACGTCGAAAACTCTGCCACAGAGGATGATGGGAGCTTTAGGCATTTCTGGGAGTGGCTCCACACGCCTCACACAGAGGAGGAGCTGGAGGAGGCGTGGGAGGTTCTCAAGGAGGTGAAAGAGGAGCAGGAAAAACAGGAGGAAAAGAAAGAGAGTAAGAGCAGCTGATTTGGTAGCTGGGTAGTGTCCGCAGACCCTGTCGTCCCCTGCGATTGGTTGTGTGGTCTTCCATTAGTCTTTCCTTGTAGTCTGATTTATTTGTTCCATGATTCCATTAACAGTAATGCTTTTTTTAAAGTTTTTATTTGCTTTGTTTCTTCCGTTCATCAGCTCACGCTCAACATGATTGTTTGTCTCTAAAGTCATTTTTGTGAAGACTGATTGGTTCATCCAATCCAGTGATCCAAACAATCAAATGCTGCTAAACCACTCCCCCTCGCTTCTTAGGACAAAGGAAGAGGAGAAAACATAGTCCTGGCTGACTGGTCCAGTTTTGATTCTTTTAACAAAAAATTATTCTGTGCATTGTCAGCTCTCACTTTCTAAAAACGGCCTATTAAGGTCAGTGGAGGTTAAAGGTTTTCATGAAAATGAGCTGTTGTGTTATTAGATTTTCACGTGAGGCATGGATCCCAAAAGCTCAAATATAACTTATTTATTTATTTTTTTACATTTTAAGTTTCCAACTTTAATCTCAAAGTAGTTTCTTAACTCTCAGAATATTAAGCCCTTCATTGTCCTCCAATTATTCTTTCCCCCCCCCTTTTTTGGCCTTTAGTGGCCCTAATATGTCGTTGTAGACATTCTGACAATGAAGTGTTTTTTAGTTAAATTTGCTGTTTCATGTTTCTTTATACTAGTTTACAGATGCCAAATTATAACTGAACTTATTAAACAGTAACAGAAATGCCAAATTTTATAAAAGTTTGTAATCCCGTTTTAGACTTTAGGCAAGTGACTAAATCCCCATTCTAGTGTGCCTTTTAAATGTTTGCATTGTTGTTGAGCATTTCGGGTATCTCAGTCATGCTCTGATTTTTTTTTTTTATTATTGTGTTACATAGTGTTACTCTGACTTGGAAGTGGATAAGTTGAGAAATTAAAATTTGCTGCCACCTATGACCTAATCTCAGGACAGGGATATGCTTCTTTGGATATTATTTTTGCCTTTTTGATTTTGCACAGAGAATGTAGATCCTGTATATTTTTAAGTTTATTTCTCTAGTTTTTTGATTGCGCTTTGGAAGCTTTTACAGTAAAGTGTTACATTTAATAAGCAGTATATGGTAGATATATTAACTATGGTGTTTTGGAAATAATAACAGTTCATTAGATTGAAAGCATAGTGTAGAATTGCACAGTCATGCTGGAATGGTCGTGCTGTAGGCACGCTCAGGTGAAAGTTGAACTGTCTTTGACGATATGGTTATGGCTCTAATCACGACAGGAAGCAACATTCGTGCGTAGCTCAAATGGTTTTGCCGTTTACTACCTGTCATTCGCTGGTTACTCGCTGGGGTAGTAAAGGAGAGAAACTGATCAATAATTGACTGCAGTTTGTGGTGCATTCACACTCCCCCTCGATCATGACCATATTTGATCCTCTGTTTTCTTCCTGCTGGCCTGCTCCTTCCCTCCTCCCCCCCCCTCTGCTCCCAGTAGCTTGTTTTTGTTTACTCTTTAATATTAACACTCCTTGCTGTCTTTAGTCTTATAAATTAAATTGTTCTCATTAAATCAAGTGTTTTTGTAGACGCGTCATGTTTATTTTGGCTTTCTTTGTTTTCAAAGCTTCACATGCGCACACACAGTCTCTCTGTCTCTTACCCACTCTCTCTGTTTCCTGTGTCACTCAAACACAATAAGTTGTGTCTGTTGTGTCTATTGTTGTTGTTGTTGTTGTTGTTGTAGGTAATGGGCTGAACTCTCCCCACAATGGCGAGAGGGCCAGCCCAGCAGAGAGGCAGTCCACCATGCCACCTAGTGTCCCCATACGGAAGGACAAGAAGGATGTTCCGGTAAGCATGCAGGAGTGGCTCAAGGACCCACAGAGGTCTTGAGGGAGGATGCAGAGTGCTGCCATTGTTAAAATTATTAATAATCGGCATAACACTGTGTGGAGAGGAAAGGCCAAGTCAGGTGAAATGTATTGGGTAGTGTTTTTGTCAGTGCAAAGCCAGTGAAGGATCCTGACCTTTGTTGCTGTTGCAGCTCTTGCTGATCATCACTGTTTTTTAAAGAAGAAGTGGAATTTGGGCATCTCCCAAGTCAATAATGGATTATAAATCAGGGGAAAAATAAATTCCATAATGTTCAACCCTTGAGAAAGTTTAGAGGAGTGCTGTAGGAGAAGTTATGCACCTAGATAGCTTCATCTACATACTTGTCAAACTGAAGCACCAGATGGGTGTACTTCAAACTATGACTAATAGCTTAGTGAGCTAATTCAGCTACAATTCTTTTATTTACAGCATGTTTTAAGTGCACTGTAGACTATCTGCTGGGAGAATACATTTTATATATACAGGTTGTTATGCTCATATATATCATCCAGTCATTTTATTATTGATTTTTTTAATGTGTGTTTGTGTTTATCACTTCCTTAGAAGCCAATCAGTAATGGTCTCCCCCCAACACCCAAAGTCCATGTAAGTCTTTTTTGCTTTGTTTGTTTGTTTTTAAGAGAAAATAATGTAGTTGAGTTAATTGGATTAGTGTTGTAAAGACTTCTTGGCATTGCAGATCTTTTTGTTCCTATACAAAAGTTTTTTTATGTGCAAAATATTAAATGAAATGAATTTACTCATTTGGAAAAAAATGGAAAACGAATCCATAAGCAAGTTAAAATATTACTTTTTAGTGTGGAGTGTCTCTCTAAAGGCATTTAAATCACAGGGTCTCCGAATCCTTTAAATTAAAAAAATAATAATCTTGAACTTCTTTCTTTTTCTCCCGTTTCCAGATGGGTGCGTGTTTCTCCAAGGTGTTCAACGGCTGTCCCCTCAAGATCCACTGTGCCACTTCGTGGATCAACCCTGACACCAGAGGTAACCAACAGGAAAACACTATCAAAGTTTATTTTACAGGTGTTGTTTTCACTTTTCACTAAGCACGGATCAAATGCTCTTTTGTGCGTTTCAGACCAGTATTTGATATTCGGAGCAGAAGAGGGAATCTACACATTAAACCTCAATGAGCTTCATGAGACAACAATGGAACAGGTGAGACTAGAAATCGGATAATTTAACATAATGCTATATACTTTCTGAAAACAGGGTATATTAATTGTAATGTTATACATGTGAGATAGTCCAGTCTTTGAATCAGACTGTTTTAAATGTTCTGGCACACTGAGATGCTCAGATTACTTTGTGTCCACTTGCAGCTCTTCCCTCGGCGGTGTACCTGGTTATATGTCATGAACAACTGTCTTCTTTCCATATCCGGTGAGTTGTCGAACATCATTATTATAGAAGTGTGTTTCACTTGACTGCCCTTATTACTTTCACCCATTTGTCTCTGAAATTGTTCTTAAATTGGATCATCGGCGCATGATTTTTGATACAATGTGTTTTATTTCTTCAAATATGCTTTTGTAGCTTGTATCGTAGGTCACTACTATTATTTCCTTTTAACTGTTTCTTCTATATCCTGTTTCATTGCAGGAAAAGCCTCTCAGCTGTACTCCCATAGTCTAAGCGGTATGTTTGAACAGGCCAGACAGTTACAGAAGTTACCAGTAGCCATTCCCACACACAAGCTGCCTGATAAGATAATTCCCAGGTAACTCTACAACTAGAAAATCTAAGCTGTGAAATATTTATAGCCTCTGTTTCCTTGTAGTTTTTCCCCCCCTACATAAATTAAATGTCACTCCTGCTTATTTTAACCAATTTAAATAAGTTTTCAATAAAACCAGAAGTTTGTGCCAGTTCAGCTCTATATTTGGATCATATTTCTTTATTATAGGAAGTTTGCTGTGTCCAATAAGATTCCAGAGACTAAAGGGTGCCAAAAGTGCTGCGTAGGTGAGTTTCTGTAAATGCTGATTTTATATTTTCTTTTGTCGAACACCGGCCTGTTTTTGTTTTTTAATTATGTTCTGTGACTAACTTTATTTAACTGTATCAAATTCGGACTCGTTGCATGAAACTACCTCGTGTTATCTTGTACTGTCCTGTGTGGTGTTTGTGCAGAACAAAAAATAGCACTGAATTATAATTTTTGTGCAAAGAGGAAAAATTCAAATGTATTCATGGTCGTTGTTGTTTTTGTGCAGTTCGTAACCCATACACAGGTCATAAGTACCTGTGTGGAGCCTTCCAGTCAAGTGTCATGCTGTTGGAGTGGGTGGAGTCAATGCAGAAGTTCATGCTCATCAAGGTCAGTTTTGAATCTCCCCAAAAATCAAGATAATGTTCATTTAATTTAAGCTCCTTTCCTAAGCATGTTTTATTACACAGTTACAAGAAAGAAAATAAGTATTTGCACACGCAAGAATTTTTTCCACAATGCTAGCAGTTTTTTTTCAAGATCAAAAGTTTGAAAAGACCAAGCACAGTGTTAATTTTGCTTGGCCACGAGTTCTGCAGTCCTGGCAGATCAGCTGATATTAGTGCCAGTCAGTCGGCAAATGGCTCAGCTGATTCCAGTCAAATGATTTTATGATTATATCGAAATACAACACATAGCTTTCTAAACTTTTTTTCCTTTTCTATGTAACAGACTATTGACTTCCCACTACCCTGTCCGTTGGAGGTCTTTGAAATGTTGGTGGTCCCTGAACAGACCTACCCTCTCATCTGTGTCGCAGTCAGTAAAGGAACTGAACTCAGCCAGGTGGTCCGATTTGGCACAGTCAATCCCAACTCTACCTCCTCCTGGTTCACAGAAGCAGGTGAGAACACCGCCCGGCTCTGTCAAGTTAAACCAATAACAGTTTTCTTTGGTGGGAACAGCACGAGAGCCAAAGTAATCCTCTGCCTTTTTCTCCTCCTCTGCAGAAACCCCACAGACATGTGTGATCCATGTCACTCAGCTAGAGAGGGACACGATCCTAGTCTGCCTCGACAGTGAGTCGCTAATAGATTTTAACTCATCTTACCCATTTATGATCTTTTCAGGTTCAGATTTAGAAGGTATTATCACTTATTTTATTAGTTTTACCAAACTGTTTCCTCTGTCTTTTTTTGTTTTTCCTACTACAGGGTGTATAAAGATAGTAAATCTCCAAGGTCGGTTAAAATCCAGCAGAAAGTTGTCAGCCGAGCTCACCTTCAACTTCCAGATTGAAAACATCGGTAAACAAAAACAGAAAGACTACATGGCATGGAGATCTTCTAGTGGGTTACTGTTGATCTATAAACAAACCTTAATCCGTATTGTTTTTCTTTGGGGTTTTTTCCTTTCCTTTTTTTTATCCAGTTTGCCTCCAAGACAGCGTATTGGCGTTTTGGAGACATGGCATGCAGGGACGGAGTTTCAAGACTAATGAGGTGAGATTCATACTGAGCACATTTAAGAGTAAAACACGCTCTTCAGGTGGCCTCTGCGCGCTGTAATAATGTTTAGTCCGCAGCATCAGGGTGTCTTATTTAATCTTACTTTATTAGGATTTTGGGCCTTACTGTGGGTGCTCAGTATAGCCTCAAAAAAATCACATCACAGTAATTCAAGGGATAACAGGGTGTAACAGTTTCCATTTCTACCCAATATTTATGTGGCCTTATGGATAGTATCATAATTACACATTCTTACATGGTTGCAAACCAGGATTAAATGCACATACAGTCTGTCAAAACGCTTCACTCTGACTATCTGTCTGTTAAGCAATGACGCATCAACCGTGCTTCCAGGTCCAAACTCTGCTACTGCATTCACTGAGGCTGTCGCCACTTTAAACTGTTGCAGTGTTTTGTCTCTTGTTTTATTTTGTACAAGTCTCTAAGAATAATCAGTGGTCATTGTCGGCCTCTGTGGGTTTTTATTAGCACTATTCATGTGCAAAATGTCTTTAAGATTAGTTTTTAAAATCTTAATCCTTTATATTAAATCATTAGTGAGTATTTGGCAAAAGTCTGATGAGACATCTGAGTCAGATCATCGGTGTTTTACGGCATCATTTAGCACCTCTTCTGCTTTCTTTCATCAGATCACTCAGGAGATCTCAGACAGCACACGCATCTTCAGACTACTGGGATCAGACAGGTGAGAAACACTTACCTGCCAGCATTTCCTTACAGTTTCATACCTGTCACACACACATGGACACACATTTAGGTCTCTGTTAACACTCTCTTTAATGTCTCACCACTAAAGACATGATGACTGTAGAGAGCAAGAGGCTGAGGAAAAAGGCCTCAAACTTCCCAGGTACACTCACGGGTCGCTGGCCACAGACGGCCCAAAACTTCTGCCGCTTTCTATCGGAACTTTCAAATCCTGCTTGATGCCAGATGATGGTGATCAGGAAAATTCAGAGAGAGAAAATATGGGAATTTTTTTTGATTAAATGATGAGAGAAGAGACACCAAAATTATATCTGGTCTGATTCCTTCCTGCTTAAACTGTCAGATGCCATAAGTTCTTTCAGTTTAATGCTGGGGTTGTAGACCCTCGACAAAGCACCAAAACAGACATACTTGTGTAGAGGCTGGATCATCTTGGTGTCTGTTTTCTCATTACTGAGGCTGAGTATCTTCAAGTTGTGATGTGTGATTCTTTGGGTTGCTCTGAAAGAGTACTAACAGCTTTCTCACAGTTTTCCTCCGGGTTAGGAGAGTACTCTTAGCTTCAGAGTAAGTCATGTTTCTCTACTGCCTTTTTCCAAATAACAGGGTTTTTACAAGCTTGGACCATATCCCGTTTATTTTTGTTTTGTTTTGTTTTAACACGCTAAAAAACCAGCTGGGCTGTTCTTTCGTCTGGGAAAGGGTGAATTGTTTTGCTACCTTGACTTGAAACTAAACTAGATGTTGTGTGTGTATGTTTTATCTCCGTGTGTGTTTTGTGTTGCAGGGTGGTGGTGCTGGAAAGCAGGCCTACGGACAACCCTACAGCCCACAGCAACCTCTACATCCTGGCAGGCCATGAAAACAGCTACTGAGACATGCACACTAACATACGTGCACATAAAACACGCTCTGTAGACACCCCAGCATTAGTACAGGAAAGGGAGCAAGCGACACACTCATCCCAACTCCACTTTTATCCCACCCAGCCTTCATCTTCTCCCCTGGCCCGACTAGCAGTGTGTCTGGGAGATGTTCATCAGTGCACATGCGGAATCCCAGTTGCAGCGTTTTATAAAGAGCTGCAGTGTTATGTGTATCAGTGAAGTGTGCGTGTGGCGTTAGAGCAGTGGGTTGTAGACCCGTTTCTGACAGTGTCAGGGTTTTAAAACTCTTGGCCTGAGGCCGCTTTAGATCGGGATAGTCAGCTGAATCTCTGGCCCCTACCCTGGATACATCACACTGGGAACAATGTCTAGCACGGAAATTTGACTCCAACACTACTTCTACTACTACTACTTCTACATATGCTACTAACACTACTGCTACTGCTACTGCTGTTTGCGCTAAAGCTTCACAGAAGGGCCATCTTGCACAGAAAACCTACCCTTCTTCTTCATTGCTCCTCCTTCCTTTTTTCCTTACTTGTCCCTTTTTTTTTTTTTTTTAAACTACACCTTTATTTATTTTTGGCATGACATGCTTTTAACAACCAGGATGAATTTCCTGTTTTTATTTGTTGTCTTTTTAAAAAATAAAAAAAGAGAAAACCAACTAAAAAGCTTTGCCACTTTCCCTAGCATCAAATTCCAATACTCGTCACCACACAAGTGCTTAATTGACCTCTATTTAATTGTTGTAAATATAAGTGTAGTATTATTTTTGACAGAGACGAACACTAAAAGGGTTGTGTAGATAGGTGTGTGTATAGTTGGTCTGTACAACTGTGGAGACGAAACGCGAGACAAATAGACACGTTGCAACAGCAAATTCACTCCCTAGTTCCTTGATCATGTGACCCCTGCAGTCTCACAGGCGAACATCTTTAATAATCTGATATTACTCTTCTCATGGCGTGGACCTCAGGATCAAATTGAGCGAACACAGGACACCGATTGGCCGTTTTTCACTCTCAGCGCGTCACTGTCATGACTTCCTGCTTGTTTTCATCACGTGACCGTCATCAGGGCGGACGAAAATGATCATTTCTGCTCGTTTCATTTTGTTTCTTCTTTTATTTTTTAATCAGAAATCTTTGTTTATTCTTCAGCAATATATATATTTTTTGCTATTTTTATTGAACCACTGGTGTTACAAATTTGCACAGAGAAAAATGTATTTCATAAACAAATGTGATGTCATTATAATATATGACCTTGTGTGTGTATGCACAGTGTGTATGTGTGTGCGCGTCTGTGTGCGTAGACATAGAATATGCACATATAAGAGTGTCATGTACAGATCTGGTCTTTAACAAGTGTCAAGTTTCTGGCCATATTTAAAAAAAAAAAAGCATCAGCAGATAAGAAAATACAAAAAGAGCTGGATATACAGAGATAAAGTCATTTAATTATATCTGGTTAGGCTGAAATCTAATTAGCTTTTAGCCCATTGGACAGAAATAATGTGTTTACAAAGTAAAATGCAGACCTTAATCATCTGCAGCCAGCCTGCGTTCCACAGTCACACAGAGACTGAACAGAGACCCACCGCCGCTGGTCACTAGAGAAAAGTTAGCCCTAGTGTTGTCTGACCAGTTAATTAGCTGGTTGCTAGGTGAAACTGGTCACAAAGAAGTACAGCGCTTTTACAGATTTATTAGACCACCACGCAATGTAAGGTTTATGCCACAGCTGCTTTACTGTCTTATAAAAATGGTTACAGTTACAGTTATTTGCTCACATTCCTGAGCAGAAAAATTAGTTGTTGAATGTTTAGTTTGATTCAGTGTGCAGGCTTAAATTTGGGTATAAAAGCAATAGTTGCCTCCTTTAAAAAATGGTGTTTGCTGCGATGAAGCACAACTTAATTTGTGGATCTACCATCCAAACTATGGGTAACTGCAGCGGTGTACTAGCAACCAAAAGCAATCACAAGACGTTTTTTGTGCAGCACCCTATTTGTAACCAGTCTCAGCTAGCAACAGTCTGAAATCGCCAGCATCCAAGTGATTTCCAACCGGTGAGCCACCGCTGTACACAGGCAACTCTAAACTAAAACAACATGGCTGATAGGCTATAGTACATTTCACTACACTGAGCAATAAACAGTGGTGGGTTACTATTATTTGACCTCAGTGAAATAATGCAGTAACAATAACAGCATGTATGTGGTGTTAACAGTGCATCCACATCCAAATATATTACTCTCCATATTGTGGTATTGAGTGGTGTAGCCTGTAGCGTTATGAATAATGGTCTGCTGGTTTAAATATGGTGCAAAGGCTTGCTCAAAAATCCAGTCAGACTCATTAATAGAAATTTCTGTGTAACACCTTTTTTTTCCTGTATTCCTGAGAAATATTTGCAGAAGTTTTCATTGTCAGCTGTGACTTTTTTTTAAAGACCCATATCTGTATGAGAGCTCACACTACATGCATGTAGATGCACACTGTCTGTGTAGGAGAGTCTACGTGTACCATTTAGTTTTCCAAGCTGTGACACTAGAGGTTCCTACTGAGGACACCAGTGTAGATGAACCCGAGATACCGTGCGTAATCCTGAAATCTGAGACATTTGCCTGTCGAATGGTTCACGTTCTCAAAGCTTCTCTCCGAATTTTTCCCCCCATATTTATAGGCTAAAGCAAATAATTTAAAAATGCAGTAAATTGATCAAAATGAATATAAGCGACTCTTTATCAGATCAACACGTGACACTGAAAATTGAAAATAAAATTTATTACAGGCTGCAAATCCTGCTTCAGCAACCTTGTGGTTTTTAGTGCATCTCTGTCCCAGAGATGAGGCACAGCAGCGGCTGCAGCATTGTCTTTTAAATGTTCACAGGAATTGATTTCATCTGTCACAAGTCTGATTAAAGAGAAATCTTGCCATTCTTTGGGACTGACAGTTGAAAGTTTCACCACAGGTGGTAATCTGTTACCACCTGTAAAGAGTAAAACCACACAAACTATTCATAACATTTTCATCCGATGTATTTGTGGACACATCTGGAATCATCTTACTAGACTCCAGTTCGCTGTAAAGCAACAGGATCAAGTGCAGAACGGTTGAACTCGGCGTGAGAATAGAAATGCTCTGCCCTTTTTCTTTCAGCAAACAATAACATGTATCGATTTTACTATGAATTGCCTGCAAAGTGCATTAGTGTCCCAGGTGATTGATTTAGCCATTAATGAATACATGTGCTTCCTGCCAACAACCGTGATTATAGACTGGGAGTCATTTCATAGCTGCAGCCAAGTCCTTTATTAAGTTATTTAAGCCAAACTCTGTTACTTATTTTAAAAAAGATTAAGCCACAATAATCATATTTTTACCCTTTAAGTTATGAATTCAAGTTGATTGATTTTCCTCACTTGAGTGGTTGAAATGCCAGTGTCATCATCAACCCCGCATGACCAGCCTCTTAGCGAATCGTACTATTTTAGAGGGGAAATGAATCAAGCATTCCGAAAATATTTCACTCTTCATTTTTGTAATGCTAAAATATGTTGTTGAAACTTCTTCTGGCCATATTTAGAAAATCTACCTCGTGGTATCTAGATCAAAGAAAAAAAAAAGTCTATTACTAAAGACAGCCATCAGCAGCACATGAGGTTAGCGTTCAACCATGTTCTCTAAACTTGCTCTTAACTGTCTGTGTCCTTTCAGCTGATGTGTGTAAATGAAAAAAATTCATTTAGCTGAAAATGGCTTTCTCAGTGTGAGGTTTTCTCAAAATAGCCATCTCAAATAATTCTTAAATATCTTAACACTTCTATGTATCCTCTTAGCTGCACACCCGACATCTATAATGTTTCAACATGGCTGGAAAAGGGGGAGGGGGGGCTATTCCTGCACCCCTAACCACCTCTGCCTATTCTTTCCTGTTAAAAACATTTAAGTTTGGGAAATCTGTCTATTTAGCATAACAACAAAGTTCATGTGGGATTGAATGATGCTCTGTTTTCTTCTTTCTGCCATCATGCACACAAGCGTAATCTATAATCCTTAGAGCAGGTGCCAACATGGCCTTCCTTTGTGGGTTTTTGCTGAAATGTTAAAAGTGTGTGTGTGTTTCATAACCTCAGCTGGGCCTGGATCAAATCGCATGTAGAATAAGTCACGGAGACGTTTAATGTGCTTGGAGTTGGGGATTGTTTTCTCCAACAGAAGAGATTTCCCTACCTGGTGCCCAGAGCAGATTCATAGAAGTCCTTTTGAGTTATTTGCGAAAGCCGTTTGATCCGGGTCTCATCCCTATCTTAAACAAAACACAATACGTCACCTCTGTTCTGTGGCTATTTCATCACCTTTGTCTTCTGTTTTCATATTGCAATGCATATGTTATGTAATGTATATAGTGTAAAATAAAATGGGTTTGTTTTACATACTGTATAATTGCCTATATTTTGTTTCAGAAGTGTAACAGATTTATGAGATGACAGGTTAACACATTAAAAAGATGGAACTGAGCCATTTGGGTCTTGGCGTGGTCATTTTGTGGTCACAATTCAGTGAAGGTCGTTTTCACTGATGACGTGGTAGGAAAGGCACTTTGTGTGGCTGACGGAGTTAAATGTGGCTGAGTGGCATGTTACAGCTTTCCAGGAACCCTCAGCAGAACAGCCATTGTTAATGTTGGAAACACCTGTGGCATTTATACTGTGACAAGTCATAAAGGATGCTAGACCTCACCCAATTATCAGGCAGGCAAAAAAACTGGGTCCCTGCAACAGGAGACTGGGCCTCATTTACTACAGTATTTGCATGAAAACATTCGTACCCTGCACAAAAAATGAGTTTTCATGCAAGTTTGGATTTATGAAGAGTGTGTGGCAGCCTATTTTGTTGTCACCACCATGCCTATGTTAGTAAATCAGAATCATTCGTAACATATAGGCTTGATCAAGCTCCGTACAACTGATATTATCGTGGTGATGAAGTTGTAAAAGAGAAGTTCGCATCTCTAAGACGAAAAAAAAAGGAGAAAGTCTGACTGTAGAAGTTAAATAATAGTGTCTGATATTCAATGGTTAATGTGAAAAACAACCTGACAAGGAGAAAACGGGTGGAGGGCAAGGACCGTGTAAGACATTTACTGCAGTAAAAGAAAAATTTACGAAATGGTGCCAAGAAATTATTTTGTAAGCGGCCTGTACACGCAGGTTTGTGCATACAAGCTGTAAATTAGTAAATGAGGCCCAGTTACCTCAAGCACAGCAGCAAAACGTCTACATTATGGCTGAAGAATAAAGTTTCAGAATTATTGCTGGAAAGGTGGCAATAGTGAATCGTGGGATGTATTTAGTTTTTAGTGTCACCAAAGTTTGTCTTCGTAGTTTGAGATTGTCCAACTGTTGTAGAAAGTTGGGAGTGATATTACTCTGTTTTCAGACTGAGTGTTTTAATCTTAGTACTTAAAAAATTAGGGGAAGAGAACCAGATTCCACAAATTATACAGTCTGGACCTTTATTCAAAATTCTGACATTCGTCTTTCTTCACAAAACAATTCATAGAAATAATCATCACAATGACAAAAATGTACATTACTGTCTTTCAGCAAAATGTTTAATCACGAACAAACATACACAGATTTTACCTGCTTAGTATTTGTTCTCCTGAGTATATGCAACAATGTAATTCTGGGTATTGCTTAAAATCATTAAGAAGACTGAAAGAAAGTAAGATGAGCTGGAGTGAAACTGTGCGATACAACGTTTTTGTCAGGGTGGAAAAGAAAAAGGAACATGTTATAGAGGAAAGAAATGGAGTGAGACTTTTTACAGTGTGGGGCACCATTCATCACACATCTAATGTTAACTGACACAAAATTATATTGTTTTTAACCATGGAGTCCTGTTTAATTTATGTTGTTTACTGCCTGTCTTTTTGCTAGTCTTTCGCTCTACAGCTTAACATAATAACACTGAATATTAGCAAAAGAGCTCAATGTTTACTGTATAACCGCATCATATTTCCCTCAGTGTGAAGGATTTTGTAATTGAAACATAAATCAGTTGCTTATATCTGTACAGTGTTTATACAGCGTCTATAAGTTTTAAAGAAAGGAAAAACAGCCTCGATTTTCTCTCATTAGTATATATGTATGATGTACATGCATGTATTATACAGCATCTTTGTTCATGTGTCACAGTGCCTGTTTGCAGAGCAGTGCTCATACAGCTGTGCCGCGGTTCATCTCCAGCTGGACCAGTTTGGGGTTTTTCCCCGGTGACTCATATTCACCATTATTTTGACTTTCTGGTGTCTTCTCACCTCCTTTCTCCTTTTTCTCATCACTAGTTCTGTTAGGAGGAAAGAAAAGGGTTTAAATTGAATACATGTTTTTCCTTTCAATCTTGCCTTCTTTTTGGCATCTTTGTTTCTTCAAGTTAAAGAAACTGCAGTGCCAAGCCAGCCATGTGTCTAACTCCATGATGCTACACTATCTTTCTTACTTTTTCTTGAACAGTTTCTTGAAAGAGCTCCTAAAGCCTCCTTTGTCTTTGCGACTCCTCTCGCTGAAGGGGGTGTGGTTACTGTCCTCCGTCCCACTCCTCCACTTGGACTCATCGCCCCATGACTGGATTCCTGTGTCCTGATGTGGTTGAAAACAATATTTCAGTATTTACCAAGAAAATTAAGAAATAATACAAAAAATATGATTTTCATGTTGTCAGGTTCTGTGGTTTTAATGTTAAAATGTAACAGGCAATTCCTGTACAGACATGATAATAGTTCTTTAATAATAGATGTTTGCTGAAACCCACTATGCTGAGCAGTCCATGAAGATCAGGGCTCTGCTTGTCACTGTCCGCTCTGTTCGCCAAGGGGGTCTGGACCTTACGGGAGGGGGTAGAACTTCCTTTGCTGCCTTTACTGCTCTGGCGCTCCAGTTTGGCATGGCTGCCCAATCCCACCCTTTGGAGATGGTCTGATAGAGGTCCACTGTCCAGACCACTCACTGTGTTCTCCATTTGCAGCCCATTCAGTGACTTAACAGCAGAGATGGCATACATGTCGATTATGAACATCTACAAAAATGATTCTTCAATATTTTTATATATCTCTTACAAATAAACTCACCTTGCTCTTACGTTGGCTGGCCTGAAGGGGGCGATGCTGATTGCGACGCATAAGAACAGCTTCGTCTGGAGAGACACAACCACGGTTAGGCAGTTTGCTATAACCATTCCCTTGGCTTCCTATGTTGCCAAAAACATCGCGGGTAGTCGACACATTTGTTGCTATTCCGTGATGTGACGCTGGGGGGGCTTTTGGGCACTTCACAAAGGCAATGTCAATGGAGGAATCAGAAGAGGCAGAAGAACAGCGGTCCAACATAGAGGTGTCATGGAAAGAGCCTCCATCTTCTTCATAGAGGTTCTCCAGCCCAGGGGGATCTGGAGGAAGGAGAAACTCTCCGAGGGCATCTGCCAGAGCAGATCCCGGCTGAACCTGGCGGAACTCTGCAGGTCTGGGAGGCAGATGATGCTGGCACAACATTGACCTCTCAGAGGGCTCACTTTCTGGGATGCTGCCAAGACCTGAAAGCAAAAAAACAACAAAAAACTGAATTGTTGACTGATGTAAAATAAGAACCAAAATGACAAGTTGGGGAAAAGGGAAGTTTGGGATATTTTCATCATGTCCCAAAAATAAAATTACTCTGGGGAATCATCTGTCTGACGCTGAATAAAATACTGTGATAGGAGATGCCCAAATACTGCTTTGGTTTTGTATTTAGGTTTTCTTAAAGAGGATGTGGTTAAAAAAAATAATCATCAAGCCATCAAGCCCCAATCAAGCCACAAACAATGGATTTAAAACTATATAATGTAAAAGTTGACCTGGGACATCAGATAGATACCGATGAGTTTAACTCAATTGTGCCCTGGATTCTAATTTTACTTGACTCGGTTTTTTGATGAAATTGGTACTTCTTATTCAAAATGTGCACAGTGGTAAGCCAGTCGGTTGGCATGCTGACACCAGAGCATCCTGTGCGATAAACATCCTTTGTAGTGGCCCTGTGTGCTGACGTTTTGAAGCTACACTTTTTAAAAAAAGTTCATGATGAAGTGTGAAGTGTTGTCTGACGATGTCTAAAAGGAAAGGTGTTAATTCCTGCTCCAAAGGGCTGCATTTGAATGCTGGGAGAGAACAAATTGAACTTGAAACATCAACTTTCCCACGCTGTAAAACTCCATGCCACTATCATTGCTCTAGTCCAATCATCTTTCTGTTTCTCTTCTTCAATCAGCCTTTAAATTGCAATGCTCAACTTTCAGTCTCTCTTGCAGTCTCCTTTGTGCAATCCACCTCCTCCCCATTTCCACCTCACCAAAGCCCCCAACTTATCTTCATTACCGCCAGCATCTACACTCTGGGGGGGTCCTGCCCTTTTCCATTCTGCTGGGAATTCTTTATTTCGTTAAATCACGCTCAGTTCCTTCTAATGATCTCCTCTTATTGAACTATTTTACTGACCTGTTGGTTTGTGGTTCCGTGAGTCCAGTTCATGGCTGAAGAAAGGGAGGCGGGAGGGCCACTCTGCATCATAGCAATGAGTTTCAGTTTCTTGGTCTCGGTCCCAATCTTGGAAACGGTGCGACTGAATCTGTTCCAGGAGACACTGCTTTCTGCGCCTCACCTGGTTGGCATGTTCCCTGCAGTGAAGAAACGAAAAAATAAACTTCGTTTACAGCAGCACCCGACAGCTTTTTACAGAAGTAATCAAGAAATACTGAAAGGTTACTGGACTGGTAGGAAAACATGGCGAGTATGTAACTGCTTTTATATCTATATTTTTTAAATGAGAAAGCAATAACAAATATTAAGCATTTATCTATCAGGGCTGTGTGTCTGTTGCTTTCCAGGAATAATCTACTTATCTTTAACTCTTATTCATTTATTAATGTCTAACAGAAATGTCTGAGTCATGTAAACACTACATTAAATGTCCGGTAAACTGAATACTCACAGCATTGCACTGCTGCAAGGGTACGGTGAGCCAGTGTTGCTGGCTTGAATCCCACTCTCTACTGTCTTTAACAGCTGTTTCATGGTAGACCTGCAGGGGTGCACAGCACAGAGAACATTAAGCTCCTTCACACTGAAAATGTTTTGTTTAATGTTTGTTTTAAAGTTGATATTTTTCGAAAGATGGTAATCCTGACCTCTTCACCTCCTTGCGGTTGAGCAGCAGAAGCTCCTGATTGTGCTGGAGGAGGAGGTGGTACTGTGTAGTAAAAGCCCTGAACTGCTGTATGCACACCAGCAGCAGATAGTAGTCTGGATGCTCTGCATCAGTCTGCCTAAGTAGTCCCTACACACACACACACACACACACACACACACACACACACACACACACACACACACACACACACACACAGATAGACAATTTAAATATTCATACATCAGATTTAATCTTCAGTCGTAATAATACTGAGTTGTTAATTGTCGTTTTATTTCTGTTTCTGTTTTTACTGATAACCTTTTTCTGCATGGTTTCAGAGTATCGTATTTGTATCAAGTTTGTGTGTTGCAGGATATGAACATATAAGGACAATTCTGGCAGTGGTGTTGATCCAACCTGTAAAAGCAGCAGGTACTCAGGGATCCTCTGAACTGGCTGAAGCAGCAGAGTGTAGAGGGAGGGTTTGGATTCATCACCTGTTATGTCACTCTGATAGCAGCACCACACAGTCAAGCACAATGCAGCACAGATGGACCAATCAGCATCAAAGGGAAAAACACAGCAGGTGTAAGGACTGTGAATTTCGTCATTTGTCTGAAGCTTTTATATAAAACAAGGCTTGAAATGAAACTTGACAGGGCTTCCAGATACTTAAGTTACCTCCACTCAAGCAATTCTGAGAGTATCTGAGAGTTAAATCAGAAATCGACAGATATGCTGGCGTTTCTTTGGTGATATGAGCTGTAAGTTTCCGGATTTTTTTTGTTTTTAGAAGTATGCTGGTATTCTTTTTCATCCTGTCCTCCCTGCTCTGCCCCGTCATGTTACATTCTGTGCTTTTAAATTTAACATCAAAACCTGTCATATTTCACATTTTTCTGTTACCTCAAGCAAGGCCGAAGACTTCATGGAGCTGGTGGCCAGCATGTTGACAACTGACAGACAGTCTGGAAGCTCCTTCAGGTAGGACACATAAAAATCCAAGAAATCACTCTGGAGGAAGAAGGAGAGATATACTGCCTAAGTTTGCATGCTCTTTATATACACTGGAGACCTTCTGCATTTCTCTCTACCTCCATTTAGTGCACAAAACACTTCCCTGCACTATCAATCTGGGATGACAGAGTGCTGAAGGAGAGTCATGCTGAGACACACTCGTGGGGATGCAAGACTGTACAGGGAAGCTACAGATGGGAGTACAGCCAAGTCTTTAGAGCACTGGCAGACACCTTGGAGAAGGATGAACTGAAAAAGCATCAGACTCGTGGGACACCCATCCCATAAATCCAGTTCATCTAGCAGGGAGAAAAAACACTCTCCTCCAAGAAGATCAACAGCACCCTCCTGCAGACTGCACAGGTATGGCATATGAAGGTGGACCTGGGGAATAAACTATACTTCCACCTGACAATATTCTGACAAAGGAAAGAAGATGATCCTAATAGGACTGCCAGTCCCACTGGAGGATGGATGCAAGGAAACCTCTGTGAGGAAAACCACTGTGCAGGATGGCAGATCTGACTGTTCTCAGCTGAAATTGTTGCAGAGGTTTTCCCTGCTTGGGCTGTTGGAGAATGCTTATTGGTCTGAAAGTAGCAGGAAGACAGTGGATGATAGCAGCACAGAGGTTGGGGAGGGGGGGGTGCATTGGTCATAAAAGGGTGGACATGGTCAGCAACAGTTCTCAGCTGGTTCTAAATCGCCCAAGGCATGCCAAGCAAATATCCCCCACACTATTACCAGACTACCAACAGCCTGAACAGTTGATACAAGGAAGGATGGATCCATGTATATATATTGTTCACCAAAAATTCTGATCCTGCATCCAAATGAAACAGCAGCAATTGAGACTCACTGTGACGGTCCTGGGTCAGTGAGCCAGCGTTTTGTGTATTATTATTGTATAATTTCTTTGTGGTTTGATTTCTAGTGTTTAGTATGGGTTTAGTTCTGTGCCAGTCTGTTTCCTGTTTTATTTTGAAGGTCAGTGTCTCAGGTCATTGTATTCTCTTTTGTGTCCCTCCGTCTCGTCAGGCTTGATTGCTCCCAGCCGTGCTCGCCTTGTGTGTCTCATTTTTGTGTTACTGCCTTTTGTATTTAAGCCCCGTGTTCCCCGTGCTTAGTGTCACGTCGTATCCTCATTCTGCCCTGTGTGTTTAGTTTCCAGTCCAGTTTCCAGCCCTCCTAGTTTTGTTCTGTTTTTGACATTTACCTGCAATAAAGCAGTGGACTTTTGAGTTTAAGTTCTTCCTCCAGGAGTCTGCATATTGGGTCCTTTTTCCTGCCTGCCGGCACACAGCCATGACACTCGTCACACCAGGCAATGTTTTTCCAGGCTTCTATTGTCTGTTTTTGGTATTCTCATGTGAATTGTAGCCTTATTTTCCAATTCTCAACCGACAGACCACCACTATATATTCATCTGCTGTTTCAAAGTTTGATATGTTGTGCATTCAGAGACACATAACTTGATTGTAACAAGTTAGTATATCCTTCTTATCAACTCAAAGCAGTCTGGCCATTCTCCTCTGACCTCTGACATCAACACGGCATTTTCACCCAGAGAACTGCTGCTCACTGGATATTTTCTCTAAACCCTAGAGATGATTGTGTTGGAAAATCATAGCAGATCAGGAGTTTGTGAAATACTCAGACCAGTCTGTCTGGCACCAACAACTATACTATATACAAAGTCACATAAATCACCTTTTTTCCCAGTCTGATGCTTTCTTTGAACTTCTGCAGGTCTTGACCAATTCTAAATGCCTAAATACACTTAAAAGATTCTTATATTATTTCAAACATAGTATAGAAAAACAAACTGTGCAGGCTAAGAAAGCTGAAAAGGAAGTCCATGAAAGATAGATTCAGATAACTGATACTGAATCAACACCTTATTAGAAAAATGGAGGGAGTGCATATGTAGCGTTCACTGCCTGCTGGTTTAAAAGATGTTAAGAATTCAAAAACTTTCATTTTATTTACCAGTAGATGGTGCTCACATCAAAAAGGACAATATCCACATTTCGTTTTGCGCTCTCATTCTGTGTTTACCTCTTTACTTGTAAGCCTCATGAATATATCTCCCATTATGCCTTGCCACTGGCATTTGAGCACACGTTCTTGAAGAGTATGAAGTAGCTCAAGGTGCTGCTGGATCAGAAACCTCAAAGAGCTGGGAAATGGACTAAAAGTAGAACAAAAGGCAGCAGATGTTATAAACATCAACATTCCTACAAAACGTGAGAAAACTTGCATTTGTGTCAATTAGTGTGCCATCTTGTGTGGCAGACATCTGACAGCAGGATAAGCAATTTAAAACAAATGCAATCATTCACAAATAACATTTGACCCAGTTCAGCGATGGCACCATTTCACTGGCGCTTTCAGTCATTGGGAGCACGTGTGCTGAAGCTAAGCAGTGATTGCATTAACAAGCTGTGTGGAGTCTCTTTAACAGAGTGTCTTCTCTGGTGTTTACAATGTGCCTTTATTTAATTTGTTTATTTCCTGTTCACCCTTCACTGCAAGCACTCAAATTAGATCAGGAATATATTCTTGCGAGTGTTGATTTGTGTGTCTCTGTGTGTGTATCAGGTAGGGGTTAGTGGTGGCTGGGACATTTCTTCTTTCCAAAAAACTGCTTTACATGTCTTTTTCTTCAATTATCAGTCTGAATCGAGCCATGTTAGGGTGTCAGCAGGCTTTACCGTTTGTCTTTGGAAGTGAGGGCTTCTGATCCGTTAAAGGAGATGTTTGCCTTCAGAAGCAGAGAAAGGTGGGACACGTAAACTCTCTCAGACTCCAGCAGCTCCAAGGCTGCTCTCTGTCTTTTATCTGCACATACAGAACACAATCTTCTTTAAACTCTGAGAATAAAGAGGATTATTCTATAACCATAAAAGACAGACAACTGCAAAGGGGGCCAGGCTTACTGGCTGGCCTTTACTACCTGTGTATAATATTTTTTGTAATATGCACCTGTTATAAAACCTGCCATCAAACATAAGGCAAAAGCTGGTTAAAACACCTTTTTATATGGTCATGTATGTTGACTAAAATCCCATTTTAACAATTATATTTATATATTGAGTTTTGCTTAAATTAAAAAGAGTGGTGAAACTCCTACCCATAGTTCTGTCTGGAGGTGGTAAAATCCACCTACTTCTGCCTTTAAACTTCCTCTGACTACCAAGTAATGCATGATTCAGGATGTAAAAAGAGACTGTGGTTTAGTGGGTTCGTGCATAGATATGTGGACTACCCGCAGTAGTATGTTTATCAGCAGAAACAGGTGTATTTCTTACTTATTTCAGTCTGACTATTGGTCTCAGGACAAGATCTTTGCTGGTCCTGCTCAGACGTGGAGGCTGTAACACACAAACACTAGTATGAGCAAACTGCCTCTACGAGCCGGTCATTTTCTCGCTTACACTCTTTGCATAGTAAATGTTGAAATACACAGACTCACTCTGAGTCGACGTGGTGCTCCTCGGCGGTGACCCGCTGCTCTGCGTATTGGGGAAAAAGTGCTGAATACCACTGAGCTCTGATTGGCTGGGCACACAGATGTGTTCATCACTGGATGCTGTCAGCACATCAGCCTTGGAGCTCTTTCTGCTAGTGGCCCGATCAGCACAGGTGAAGGAGAATTAAAAAGAGCGCTTATTTGACAAAGTTACATATGAAAGTTGAACTTTTTGGGTCACCATTAGGGAGCTGAGTGGGATGATTGAATAATTACTGTGAATAATTTTTATATGCGTGTACATTTATTAAAACTAGCACCTTTTTCAAAATGTTGCAGCCCTACCTGTGTGGAACTGACATCATTTCTTTGTTTTCTGAGTGCAGCAGTTCTATCCTCTTCTGAACATCTCTTTGTCTGCTGGAAATGTCCCTGATGTGGAACAACGCCACATTCAGCTCCTCCTGCAAGAAGATTAAAAGGTGCCAGTAGTTTTACTTTGGTAGACTGGGAAAGTCACTATGCTGAAATGGGAAGTACCAGGGTCAGATTTTAAGGGGAGAATTTGGGATTCAAATCCAAAAGAGAGAATTTCTCGTATGCATGCACATTAAAAAAATATTAGCAACATAGTCCACGTTGAACTGCCTGTTGAAAAGAAGTGTGAGAGTCTGAAAGAGTTGCCTTCCTGCCTAATTAAATTAGTTTACAGTTCAACAGAGTCCAAGTCAGATGTTCTAAATTATGTTTCAGAGGCCACACCAAGAGTAGACTGTGTATGTGTGTGTTTTTACTGTCTAGCTTCTCCAGCACCTTAAATGTGTTGAGCGTGTTCTTGAGGCCCATTATCTTATCATCCACATCAGTCTGATGGGCCTGCAGCTTCTCTTCCAAACCGTGGTCCTTTTGACGCAGCTCGCACAGCTCCCCCAGTGCCGCCTGGAGCCCCTCGCGCAGCTCAACCACCAGACCCCACAGCTGCATCACAAGGAGCAGTTTAACATGTAATGTTTTCACCAGTGTGCTTAAGGGTGTGTCAAATTAAAAGAGAAACAACTGAGGGATTCAAAGTTATACAAATGAGAAGGAGCTCGGTATCGATGCTTCTCTAAGTTCTCTGATTTGATCCATCTGATTATTTACCTGAAGGTATTTGTAGGTTGAATCCATTTTTCATTTCTTTAACCAGACAGTTTAGACATTATTTCATTTGTGCTATATTTTAAGCTCCATTTTTTAACTTCTATTTTGCCAATTTGCTCCAACTTTGTTACACTTGATTCTTTGTGCTTTTGGTGCATTTTGACTTGTTTTGTGCTGTCTTTTAAACCCTTATCATTATGTTAACCTTTCCCTGATTACATTCCATACATAGAGAAATCTTTATCTTGCTTTGTTTTTTCTCTGCTCTTCCATTCTCAGTTTTCTCATGCATAGCTGATTGAATTTACTTCACGGGCATAACTGAATCAGCTCATGGGAACATTACATGGGTTTTGCAGCTCTCTCTTGTCCTATCTTTCCATCGCTCTCTTGCTTTTCTTTTTCTCTTGGTCATGTGAAAGGCATCAAGCAGGAAACTCAATAGACCATCTGTCCTGTTTGCCTTATTGCTCTTATTCCTGTGTAATAGCTGACTATGCGTCTATACACCTGGAGGCTACAGCTCTAAGGAGTGGCTAAATAATGATTCATAGAAGCATCTGCATCTACTGCAATGCATAGATCTTAGTATTTACTCGTATCAGTTGCCAATATTGAGTTTAGTTAATCTGAATAAGAGTGTTATTTAAATAATACTTAAGAGAGCATAATGTGCTAAAGTGAACTCAATTTGGAGACTGAATTCTTATACTGTACAAGTGAGTCCTGTACTATAAAATATTCCACAAGGGTTTGAAAAATATCTTAATCATAAGTCAAGTTTTAAACTTTCACATCCTCTGTGAGTAAATAAGAGCTTTTGTTAAAATGTGATGAGACCTGGTGCAAATTTAAAAGAGCCGAAACTTTATTTTAAAACTTTGTAAACAGCATTTTTCTTGTGTGCTCTGTTCACTTTTGGTAGTCCATACTCATTGTGATGAAAATGCTTCACTATCTCGGGCAATATGTTGTCTTCTGATTTGGGTTATTTGTCTGCAGAGTCCAACATTGGATAACTCACTCTTCTTGCTCTTTGTTTCACTTCATCATAAAATAAAACCAATCAAATATTCTTAAATTTAAAAAGGGTGAGGCACAGAATGCCAGCACTGGTTATGTTGATATCTTGAGCAAAATCTACTCTAGAAAGAGCACAGCGTTTGCTCAAAGTCACCAACACAAAATGTATTAAAAATGTAAAAAAAAATATATATATATAAAAGTTTTACTATTTAAAGAAACATCTTGTTGCGTCTTCTGATAAATAGTGACAGAAAGGCTCGGTTGTTAATAGACAATTTAAGTCATAAACCAAATATTATGTAATTTATTGGTAACTTGTCTAAATGAGCTTGTTCTGATTTGATAATAAAGCTGGGATTGTTCATGTTTTTTTAGCTCACCCATTATGAGGCATAAACAAATAAATATGAAGTGTGAAGTGTTTAAAAGTTCTTGATTACCTGAGAAATCCCCTGGCTAGCTTCTTCAACATTTCCCTCTGTATCTAAGGAGAAAACATGAAAAGCTGAGTGTGGTGTCCACACAACATCTGCTAAATTTCTGTGAAAATGTTGATTGAATCCACAGACAAATCCACTGTTAAGCGTTTGTTTGTTTGTTAAGCAAGTATGGAAAAGGCATGAAAGAGGTTGCCACAAGAAAACCCCTTTTTTCCCACCACATGTAAATTAACAGTTTATTTACCTTTTCTTTCTCAGACATTTAACACATCATGTAAGATTGAGTTCAAAGAATTTCTATTTGTTACATCATCGATAATTGGCATCGCTAACAGATTATTTATCACACTTATTCAGGACAAAAGACCACAGAAAACAGGTTTGGTTCATGCATCTCAAAAATAAAAGTAGAATAAATATAAATTACACAGATGATATTCTATAAAATAACAAACTTTTAATATATTTTTATATACAAGAAAAGTTGCTCCTCATATTATCTGACTCCAAAAAGTTCAGTGAGTTTCACGTTTGGTCTTGAATCATAAAATTCGGCGTAACTGTTAAATGCTCTGAATTACAGAGAATTGTGATCATGTAATTTCAACAAACTGTAAACGTCAAATGAATTTCAACCCACTCAAATAAAGTTTAAAAAGGCCTGCGCCGTGAGCTTTCTCTGTCGTGTGATTAAAGTCATTAATGTCTGCATTAAACTCTTTTCATCAACCCCAGTGTAACCTAAAGTTGTATCCACATGTGGCAACTTCAACCAATTACAGGGAAAGTAACTGCTGGTGATGCAAAGTGGGCAGGATTCAACAAGGTCCATTCACTCCAATGGACCTTTTTTCTAATAGCATTCACTTACTCAAGGGCTCTGTTCAAGGCAAGCGAATTACTACCAATAAGAGAACAGGATACCCTTGATTGACATAATGTGGTAGTAAATATATTAGAAGGTTACCTAGGTAACGGGTAATCTGAAACCTCTGCACACGGTCGACTGTAAAGCAATGCACGACAAGCAAATTGCTTCCAGTGTGGCGACAGCTTAAGAGCTTGACTACCATGCCATATGTCAATCAATAGTATTCCTCACTCTCATTGGTAGTCACATTGCTGGTCTTGAAGTCTATCACGAGCCATGCTCACTTCACATCACCAGCATCTTTTCATCTGTAGTCGCTTGGTGATCACCACATTGCTGCAAATTGCTTTCAGCATCACGGCAGCTTCAGACTTAGTGTGTGAATTTATATCATTCACCGTTCAGCGTGTCTGCATTTCCTATGTTAAAGGTAAAAAAACAAAAACATTGCAGTGTGGTTCATGGCAAATATTTCATGCATTTGGGCACAGTTGATGGTTATAGAAAAGTACAATGCTTGTGTCTGTTGCGAAAATGTCACAGGTCGAGGCTACTGTCAAAACTGCACGGGGTCATACGAAACACGTTTTACATATATCATCATGCATAAATGATGAGGAGCACGAGCACAATATGAGTAACACTTCTCATCCGTGAAAGAGCAAAACAAGGAATGTGTCCCACAATGAAGACTCTCTGTCAAATTTCCTCTGGCATTTTGAGTTTGTGATTTTGGCTTCAGCTGTTTCAGGCCAAAAAAGTTGACGTCAACATGTTACATCAACATCTGTCCCAGAGTGACCTCAACAGAAGATGCAAAAAATATTTAAATTTATTGCCATCAGGAAACCAAAAGGATTTTGTGACATTTTGATGTTGCTTCTGCACTGTATGTCTCATTTGGTAACAAGTAGCAACAACTGTCTGGATAGTGAGACATATTTTTGGTATAGCATTGGACTGCATGTTTAGTTCATCTCATACACGCTGGCTTTGTTCTCCAAACAAACCTAAATCACAGCTTGCGTTCAGCTGATAACCAACAATCAGGACAAAAAGGTCAAAGCTGCGTTTGGTGTACTTTAGCGTTGATGTGAAACAGCAGACATTTTGGCTTGTGAAAACAGGAAACAAGCAGGAGTAATTGATAACATTAAAATCATCCACATCCCATTTAGGTAAACCCTTCTAAGGTTCTTGACCCTGCTTGAATTAAATGAAGGATAATTAAAATTATTTTTGTAGGTCACAATCTTGATGTACTGTTAAAATAAATTAAAATAACTAAATAATCCCTGTTTAATACCCATATTAAATACTTAAAAATTAAGCATTTTACAAAAATATCATAATGTTATTTATATGTGTTCACCAGGCTTTATGTTTAAGGTTTGTTTTACAACACTACTGCTGCTCATTGGTTTTTATCCCTGTATCATACATTTTATGGTCTTTGCAGATGCAGCTGGTACAAAAAGGGCAAAGTAACTTTGTGGCTGGTTATGCAAATTTTGGTATCACAGCCCAGTAAATATTTCAGGACTGAATGAAATGTAAAGGAATGATGAAAAAAAAGAAGAAAATCTGATATATGCAAGAAAAAAAAATCATTTTGAACTGCCAAAAATATTCTTTTTGGTTTTGCCTTGTCTTATTAGAAAAAAAAGAAAAAGAAAAACTTTACTAACTTTACTCCTTATTCTTTTATATGTCCCCATAAATTTAGTATATTAACCTGCTGGTCTGAAAACACACATAATAAAGAGGATATCTTGAATTTTGACAAGCTGTAAGTAGCAGTTTCTAGACAAAGACTAAACATTTGGTTTTTGAAAGTAAGAATAAACTGAATATTATGCATATTAGCTGCAAATACTTGTCTGAAACATCTCTTCAGAAGTTTTTTAAATGCTCATTTTACCTTCTGACTTCCCCTCTGTCTTCTCCTCTGTTTCTGTTTTCTCACTCTCCATGTTCAGATAATCCTGGCCAGTCTGGTCCAGTGTACTTCACAGCTGTCCAGTTCTGAAGTCCCTTTTCCAGCTCTGAATGACCTCACTCTGCTTCTCTGCCTCCCTCTCTTCTGAGCAACCCTATCTCTCGCTGTGATCGTTCACTTTCTCTTGTCCAAAGCATGTGAGTCCTATGATTTCGCTTTCGTACAAAAAGGTCCTTGTCTCCAGAGAGTGGAAGGATGGAGGGGAAAGATCAGGAGGAGAGAGAGAGAGAGACATTTGTTCATCATAAAGTCACATACTGTAGCCAACTCATTAGATTTAAGGAGGCGTGACTGGTTGCTAATGAGGATGGTTTACACAGCTGCACTGAACAGAGAACGCCTGAAATGGACATTCCAGTTGTTGTGGTGCATATAGGTGCTGGAAGTAGTGTTGTAGTCTCATGCAATATATGGTCTCACTCTAGGCCAGTTCTAATAAAGTGTCTTTTCTACTCCTTTTTTAAAAGACCACTTAGGGGGAGGGCAAAAGCTTTAAACCTAAAAGTATGCTACAGTATATCTTTTATTCACTTGATTTTTAGCTCCATTTTGGTCTCAACCAACCCTTGAGGGGCTTTTTGGCTCACAAAACAGTGAGGCCTGGGAGCTTGAGGGTCCTGCGCAATATCTTTGCTGTTCCTAGGACTGTGCTCTTCTGGACAGTGACCTTTATATATTTATGTATAATATATATATAATATAATGATGCTAAATATGAGGTGAACAAATGTTGTACTTGGAAGTTAAACAGTTGTTGATGAGGTTAAGGTTTTGCATAATAATTTTTTTATGTCAACAATTTACCAATTTTACAGTTTTAACCTGATTTGTAAAAAAGATTCTATCTATCTATCTATCTATCTATCTATCTATCTATCTATCTATCTATCTATCTATCTATCTATCTATCTATCTATCTATCTATCTATC